GTATGGGAAATCGTGGTGCTCGACGTGGTAGCCGACGTTAAAGGTGAGGAGGTTCCATGGCCCGTAGTAAGAGTAGGTCTCGTAGCCTTTTTCAAACATGTAGTGCTCTGCGATGAAGTGAGCAGCCATTGGATGTAATCCAGTACTGAGGAGAGTGCCAAGAATGAAATACACTAGTCCCTTTAGTCCACACACATAGAACACGATGCCATCAAAGGATAGCTGTATGAAGGTGTTTAGAATCTCTAAACCATTTGGGGGCTTTGGGTTTGTCACTATAGGCCTGAGGCTATAAAATAACGGCTGTAGAAATACCCAGAGCAACTTTAGGGGACGATTACGAAAGAAGAGTCCTTCAAATTTAGTCGGTAGGTCCGTATCGACGACGTCTGCTCCCATAAACCTGTGATGCTCTAGGTGATATTTCTTGAATGATATGGACATTGGTACACCTATGGGGAGGTTGAGCCACATCCCAAAGAGCCTATTAGCCAGTGGGTACTTGTTACCAAATACCATATTGTGTGACGTCTCGTGTATTGCTAGTGTAAGCGAATGATTAATGACTCCACCAAGGCAGTAGGCTAATGGGACTATCCACTTGTAGGACAGCTGTGATATGTAATAGCAAGATACCAACTGGAATATGACCATCAGCGATGAGATGTATTTGAGTCTGTCATCCGGTCCCATTAGCTTTTTAATCTGAGGGTATTTCTCTAAGAGGAGAGAAGAGGGAGGGAATGGAATCAAAAGAGGTGGTTTATTTTGTTACAAAAGCAATGGTTTACAAAAATAGTTTACAAAACCAGCTGGAGTAATGATGGCAGTGTGACCGCAGTTTGAAAGGGTAAAACTCTTCACTCTGTAAACAGAGTCCTCATAACTGCGGTCACAAAATAAATGGAAGTAAAAGATTTTTACAGGGACGCTTGACAGTCCAAACTGCTCAAAAGTCCCCGTATCATTACATAACTCACCGAGAATGATCTTCCTTCTAGCAACGTGAGGCTGTTGAGTGTAGACCCACATAAAGTCTGACCTGGAGACTTGTCCACCCATGACAGAGTGTCTTGTCTTCTTGCTATTAAAGACTGATTGAGTTGACTGCTGGGGCTATTCCTTTGACACCTGGGAGTGCTACTGTGGTAAATTGCTGCTGCTGCTATGATAGCCCGTATTTAAGGTCACCCCACAATTTATGCGCATGGGCTCATAACAAATATTCATAGTTTACTCATCAGCCATCATTATCTGTAGTTATAATCTTATACAATAATACATCTATACACATTGTAGGCTTCTTTATGAGAGTAGTTATTGTAAAAGTTATGTTTTCCTTGTGTTGACTGACAAACGCTTCAATACATGTCTACATTGCCTGCAAAAATAACAAAGGAAGGAAACGTTACTTTTTTATTTATTTTTGATTACATACCTAGCAACAGGCCCAGTCCCTATGCATCTGGACATCAGACGAGACACAACAAGAGGGTTAAGTGATGGTGCCTTGTTTAGAATTGAAACAGCCTAGAGATAATGTGTGTGTGTGGATAATTATAAATATGTTGATGCTATACTCATGCTTCGATATATACTCATAGATTGTGCACTGTCTTTAGTAAACTGTGTATGATTCACTCACTGTTAGTCTGACATATGTGCTTGGATCCATTTCAATAACATCCATTAGGGTATTGTGTGTTTTATTATCAATAGTAACAAAACCACCCTATTACAATAAATATATACCTCCTCTCTCTCTCTCTCTCTCTCTCTTCCCTTACCAGTGATGTTACTCCTTCTACTCTTTCTGTCTCTTTGTCACTGTCTATTTTTCTATAAAATAAAAGACAAATAAAAGTCATTCTTCCTCCCTCTTTTTTTACTTTATAATCTCCACTTCACACTTTGCTTTCAGACCAAGCTCTTTGGCCAAGTTCCCAAAGGCAACTTTGACAATCTACATGTGACATAATGTACATGGATGCATACGAATGTATATAATACAGAGAGCATTACATGTATTGGCTCATTGGCGAGTCTCTTTAGCAGATATTGCATCGTTAAAGCTTCATCAAAATGTTTATGTATTAACGAAGTACCTAAGCATCATATAATATAAAACCATCATCATGTAAGCATACCTCCAACCTTGAGACATTCGACTGCTTTTAAACGATTCTTCAAAGAAATATATGAAAAGCAAAGTAAAGTAAAGGTCCATCCATACCTTCCAATTAACATGTGATTCTGATTGTTTTTGAGCTATTTGAAGCAGCCCTTTATCAGCAGGGCTCAACCTGACTAGCACATCAAGTGCCTATGGACAGGACAGACGTGTACATGTACATTTTATGACACTAAAATGTCTTGAAGTGCTTTACCATACTCTGCTGCTTCTCAGTACCATCATGCAAAGCTAACTCTAGCCTTTCCTTACATAAGGAAGCTAATACAGAGCATTCATTGTTGCTTAGGATAATGGCAGACAAGAAAGATATGTCATTCTTGATCATAGTCCTTCTTCCTTCTTTATCTTTAAGAAGGTGAGCAAGTACATCAAAAAAACCTTCAATTATCGACTAAAAGAGAGAGAGAGAGAAGAGAATAATGATTAAATTATTGATACTCTTTTTATACTTTGTCAAGTGATTTTTGTTGCAATATCAATGAATTGGTTGCCATCTCATGAGTTATAAGTGATAAAATGTCATGCTGTATCTCCTGTGAACCTATGACAATAAATAAATAAATAAATAAATAAATAAATAACAATAAATAATGATACAAAAATTGCTTACCCTTTGACAATAATTCAGTTAGTGCATACACTACAGTGTTATCCCAAACACCTAATAACAAAACATAAAGTAAAGCAACTCCCTCTATATCACTTACCATGTTTTATTAATGCTTTTAGTGTCTCATACTGTACAGATCCATCTTCTTCAGTTGCTAACTGTAAAAAGGATCACATGACAATCACATGACATGATATACTCTTACACAAGCACGGAGACACTCAAGGATACTGGGATCACCACGACAACCAAGGTCCCCCAATATCTATTATGATAACATTATATTAACAAGAATAGTATCTACAAGTATGTTAACCTGCACTAGGTCTATTCTCCTGTCAACTAGCTTAGAGCTGCTTAGATCTGACAGTAGTTCCTAAGCCAAAGATTCATACAAATAGAATGTGTAATTGTGTACAGAATGTACCTCAATACATTTGTGCTTATAATCTTCTAACTCAGCTAATAGGAGGATGATATACTTAGAAATCAATAACATGGATTCTATTATTACCTGGTACTTCTACTCCTTCTCTTATAGCAGGTCTAAAGAAGAGTCTTTATGCTTATATGCGTGCATAAATAATACCTTGTTATCTTTTTCTTTCCAATATGATCAAGTTTAATGCTGTTTTTACCACCAGCACCACCACCCTACACATAAAATAATGTCAACTCAATATATAACATGTACTAGTGCCTTATGTTTTGTAGTTGGTGGGGGTAGCAATGGATTAAAAGCTCCTCTATCTCTCTGTGAGGTTTGCTGTGAGTGAGTGATGTGGGAATGATGCTGAGGATATAGTCTTGCTTCCTAAAAAATAAAGAAAAAATGGTTTAAATTAACAGTACGGTTAATGAATGCTGTGTAAAAAAGTCATAAATGGAAGTGATGATATTTGCTTTATACATACTTTTCCATATACTCTCCTAGTCCATGGCTGTGCTGGTCTTGCTTCATCAGGCAATAAAGTCTGTTTGTAGTAGCAAGGATTACACAGAAAGAAGGTGGAGTGAGTATTTCAATTTGCATCTACATTGCAGTAAACTTTATACCTGATGGTCTTTCAGTACTTCTGTAAAACTACAGCCTTCACCTCCTACTATTACTTTTCCTTTCCTACCTAATTGATCAGTAATAATAAAAAGGAAAAAAAAATAAAGAATAATGATACCAATAATGGGAAGAGGGCTCTTTCTCTTATCACCAAAGGATAAGGATTTCGTGACAGACACAATAAGATCCTGCAATTTATTGATGTCACTCCATAGGGGGGCCAAACCAGCCTATAAATAGTAACATACATTGTATAATGTCTAAAATGACATCATCAAAAACTATAGCTTACATGTGAAGTTTTGCTATTGATTCTCCTATCACCACTTTTACCAAAGGTAGGCCCTATGTTAATACATTCACATGTACATTTGTAATTGCTTACATTACCTTCATCAAGTAGACTAGTATAATTTGCTAGTAACAATAAATTCCAGGAATGAGGTCCAAATATTGAAGGAGAGCGTGGAAGCTCAAAAAGTCCTGACTTGTCCTTTTCCTTTTTCCCTCTCTTTCCTTCCTCCTCTTCTTCTTTCCTCAATTCCTCCTCCACATTAATCACTCCATCATCATCATCATCAGAAGACTCTCCTTTAGTTCTATTCTCTTCACTACTGCACCATTCATCACTCTCTCCTCCTCCACCTTTATAGCTCTGAGTCATTGAGCTTGAGTATGTTCTTTGAGATGACTCTCTCCCTCCTCTTCCTCCTCCTGGAGATGTTATATCAGAGAGGCTACCAATAGTACTAGCTCTTTTATGAGATGATATGCTAGCAACGGTCCTCTCAGCTCTAAGTCTATTTCTTCCTCTTATCACAGCTTGAGCCTGTGAATCAGTAGCTTCCATTCTTGCATTAAAGCTCTATCATCATTAAAGTGTAATACTAGCATTATTTTATTCATTAGTATTTACTAGTGCTGCAGTGCTTCTCATTCCTTTAGCTCCTGGCCTACCTCTTCTTTTAAGCAACAGCTTTTCTAGCCTACTCTGCAACCACTTCTGTCTTGCATACAGTTTAGTGGGCTAGAGGGAATAATGGCAATGATTGCACATGCAAGTAATGAAACAGCTCACACTCTCTTTTCCTTTCTTTCTTGCAGATAGCTCCAACTGGATGTCATCCAATTCATTCTTTATGTATAGTACAACCTTATGATAATAATGATAATTCATTTGCAATTTATAAAAACCCAATGTTTTTAAGGATATGATTACTTTCAGCTTCATTATAAGTTCTTCACAACGAGATATATTTTCTTTAACTTGGATCATTGCACTGTCTTTCTCCTCCTATTATTAATCAAAATCAATCATCAATAGGTGTTTATTTGTATTTTACTGCAATACCTTGGAACCTGCTCTATCTACAACCATTAGTGCTTGTTTTAGACTTTCTTGTGCACTCAATACAACAAATTTCTACAAAAATACAATGATTTCTCTAGACTGGAGTCTCCCTCTCACTTGCTCTCCAATCAAATGATTATATTTCCTTGAAGACTCTGGATTATTTCGTCCACTAGAGCTCCCACTACTTGAAGAAGAAGGAGAGGGGACAGTGAAGGATCTGTTTGAAATTTTTCTAGAACTAGCAACCGCCATGTTTGGATGGGCGGGGCTAACAACAAATTAACTAAGAGGCGTGTTCTAATATATTAAAGAAGGAGGGGTTTTAAGATGGCGGAAGGTTCCAACTTTTCAATGGAGGATTTAGTTACTAGAAGAGCATCAGTGTCTAAAGGAAGGCCTAATAAAATCCTGTCACTAGAGGAATTATTGAAAAACAGGACAGAAAAATGGGACATATATTCAGCCACACAGAACCTCCCCTCTGTACTGAATGACCCAAACAACAGAGAACTAGACCTATTCACCAAGACCTGGGGTGAAGGATTCCTCCCTTATGCGACTGTCCCTCCTACCTCTCTCCCAAATATTGAACTAGGCGATTTCCTTTGTTATCTCAGAGAGACTTCCTCAGTATGTGAATATATGAAGTGGTGCTGTGGGTGTGGGGGTTAATTATTAGTTCTGATTTCAATTGCAGGGTAGGAAGTCTCACAGATCCATTGTCCGTGAGGATAATAAAACTAATTCGAATCCGTCTACACCAGTATCACCATCTCCTAGAAGACAATTGCAATTAGGTCATAATAATGGATGTACATTAGTCTAAATATTAAACATTTATTATTATTATTATTATTATTGTTATTATTATTTATATAGATGGAAAGACTTATGATTTGAACAACATTCCAAAAGTAAATAATATATCATCATTAGTAGCATCAGGTTGTACTGTTAATTTATGTTAGTGTTATTTTTGGAACCACAACCCAATGATTATAACAATGATGCTTTGTTCTTAGGTGTTCTTGCAGAAAGATTTTACTCTGACTGATCCAAGGACGTTCCTACAAGTGATACCACTTCACCATCTTTTGCCTCAGTCTCTCACTCCAGGAGGAGGAGGATCTGTATTGAAACATGAAGAAGGACAAAACATGGCGGCACTTCAGTCAACCAAACTGCTGCATGAGAAAGTATGGAGTTATAGCATAAAATATAACTTATTGGTTCCCTAGTTGACACATCATGTTGATGTTATTGAAGTACATTTAGCTCACCAGATATCATTAAAATCTGACGTGTTCTTCAGCACACTGGCCTCACAGAGAGAGCTAGAGTCACTGGTTGTACAAATTAAACAAGACGTCCTCGAATTAAGGTATAGCCTCTTCCCTTTTCCCTCTCCCCTCAATCCTGTATCTATAGACATCGCATAAGGCTAATGGATAAAGCAATGACACATCCGCTGCTCAGATTATATCATACCAAGAGACAGAAAGTGCGGCTGAATCAGGTTTGTCTCCAGCTGGAGCAGATAGCCAACATACACCAGACACAGCACACCATTCAGCTCTTGTTGGGCACGTCTGATTTTGTTGGTGCATTGGAATTGATCACAAGGACACAATCGATACTCTCAACTGATCTTAGAGGAGTGACCTGTCTTAGGTTAGTGGGAGGAATATAATTATTATTATCATTCACAAAACTACTAGTACTATTTTTTGTATGCGTAAATATGTTAATCATTGTCCTTCTTAAAGTCTTCCTCTATATAATATTTTTCTTCTACTCCAGACATTTGAGCTCTCAACTGGATGAGCTAGAGAAAGCCATTGAAGCCATGATGGAGAATGATCTTGTACACGTAGCAATGGCCGACATGAACGCTAGAATAGATCACTGTAACAAGATTGGGCTGAATGAAGAGGGAGAGAGAATATCGAGTCCTGAATGCATCGATACAGAGGTAAGTAAGATGGTTACCATGGTAGCCAGGGTTGCCATGTCGACCATTGATAGATACAGTTAGAGTCCGTGGTCAAAGGGTTGCTACGGCGACGAAAGAAGCACTTTCTCTCGTGTCTGAGGGAACACGTTTTGATAGAATCAAAAAAGACAGTAAAACAGGTTAGTAGAAAAAAATATTACTATTATTATTATCATTATTTTTTTCAGACTGTCGAGGAGTATTTAAAACTATTTAACGAAGGTGTCTCGCTGATAGGAGAGAGAGAGGAGCCTTCTTTATCCCTTGCTGAGCAAATAAGAAACATTAATTTTGAGAGCTGGTACAAGCTACTGGATAAACTGTTTGAATTCCTCGTAACATACATGAGATGTGTCCAGGTGAAAATGACTAACATTATTATTATTATTATTATTATTATTATTATTGTTATTGTTATTTAGACTACATTGTCAAAGATATCATTAGTGTGTCAAGAAGAAGCTGGAGTATTGACTCCAACTCCTTTAGCCACGCCCACTAGACCTCTCTTTGCCAATGCGCTATCGCACCCTCCACTGGGTCCTAAAATATCGGGCGGATTGACGGAAGACGAAGATGAAGAGGGAGAGAGATTGAAAGTGAAAGTAGAAGAGGAAGAAGAGGTATTTGTTGATAATGAAGCTGGTGATAGACTGGATCAGTTACTGATGGAGGAAGAGATGAGTGATGCTCACATTACTGAGCTAGCATTGACTGCTGGTAGGGAGGAGAGCAATGGGGAGCCAATAGAGAAAGTTGAGAAACTAAAAGAAAAACATTCGGAAAGGTAATGAGTGATACATACTATGACAAAAATAAAAAGAAGAGAATTCTTCATTTTTATAAATTTTCCTGATAAATATACATGTTTTTATGTTGTGTAGAAAGTTTGAGCTGATTCCGATCAAGTTTGGATTTTTTACGAATTTTTGAAGTTGCTCCAAAATCGGGTCAAAATCCCTGTACTATAGTACAGGGATTTTGGCAAATTTTGCCAAAAATTAAAAGGAGAGAATTCTTCATTTTTATAAATTTTCCTGATACATATACATGTTTTTATGTTGTGTAGAAAGTTTGAGCTGATTCTGATCAAGTTTGGATTTTTTACGAATTTTTGAAGTTGCTCCAAAATCGGGTCAAAGTCCCTGTACTATAGTACAGGGATTTTGGCAAATTTTGCCAAAAATTAAAAGGAGAGAATTCTTCATTTTTATAAATTTTCCTGATACATATACATGTTTTTATGTTGTGTAGAAAGTTTGAGCTGATTCTGATCAAGTTTGGATTTTTTACAAATTTTTGAAGTTGCTTCAAAATTGGGTCAAAGTCCCTGTACTATAGTACAGGGATTTTGGCAAATTTTGCCAAAAATTAAAAGTAGAGAATTCTTCATTTATATAATTTTTTCTGATGCATATACATGTCCTTATGTTGTGTAGAAAGTTTGAGCTGATTCTGATCAAGTTGCAATTTTTTACGAATTTTTGAAGTTGCTCCAAAAATCTGGCCAAAGTCCCTGTACTATAGTACAGGGTATTTCATCAAAAATGACTAGAAGAGAATCCCCCGTTTATCTCACATTTTCTGATTTTTTTTATGCAATGTCATGTATCAAGTTTAAGCTGATTCTGATACTTGCTGTTATTTTATTTCTAGTGATTTATATGCATCAGGGCTATCAAGCCAGGAGTGCCAATCACTCATAAATGAGTCTCATGAGATTGTGTGTGCTCTGTGTGACATGCTCCACTCAAGATGCACTAAACTATTAAATATACGTGCTAAGGTACATCAAAATAGCGATATTAATTATTAATACATTTTTGTCTTACCAGGCTGGTCTTCTTGATAATCTTCATCCATCTGATTTCGTTAGATTAGTCCGTTTGATTGGTCGTTTTATTAACAGTTCGTCGGGTGTCACTGGTCGGTCTTGCCCCCACTTGAGACTAATCCTCATATCGCAGGTCAGGATATTGCATCCACACATACTGTACATCAGATAAACTTTACTGATAAGTTTACTGATAAATTGTCACTGATATACACATCAGTCACAGCATATGCTGAACTTGTATGTTTCCCTGTAGGCTAAAGGATTCCTTGAAGTTTTTCATGATAACAAAAAGGAGAAGCTTCGGTAAAGTTATATTAACATCTTTGTTTTTTGACCTCAATCTATTTATTAATTAATAATTAATTTGTTTGTTTGTTTGTTTATTTATTTATTTATTTATGATGTGCTGTAGGAGACTATTGGATGGCGAGAGGTGGAGACAAGCTGATGTTCCGCCTGAAGTTCAGAGGCTAACTAATTCATTAGAAGAAGGTATTACCATTCTCGCATGTATCGTGTATCACATTATATTGATAGGTCTCTCATTTAGTAATGATTTAATTGATAATAATAATATCCTAGCTACTAGCAAACAATGTAAGATCCCATATATATATGTATGTATATGCATAAAATCTTAATCTCCTTTTGTTTTTTTTCTCCCTTTCTAGTACTTACTAAGCAATCAAGCCAGCATACAGAGCAAGTATTGACGGTCCATGGACAAAAGTTTGCAGTAGTTGGGTTAGTACATTACTGCACAATGATAGCACATGATGTATTACACTCCTTTATACAGTGTATTGTGTATATTGATAACAATGGTCACTGATTATTGTCAAACTGCTGATGATCTGCCAATGCTTGTGACAGACACGCTCGGTAAACTAGTAGAACTTTTAAAGGTCAGTTTAGTAAAATTAATAAAGTAATTTTTATACGTCATAAAGTAAAATTAATTATTTATTTCTTGCATTCGATTTTTTAGTATTTTAATTCACGGACTTGTCATTTAGTGCTTGGAGCTGGGGCAGTTGAAGTTGTTGGACTTAAGACAATCACTACAAGACATTTAGGTGATTTAATTTAATTTAGAGTCTGTAGATTATCATCCTGATAATCTTGTCATCCCACTAATATATTGTTGATATTAATTATCTGTTTTTGTATGCAGCCATAGTGCTACGATGTCTTCAAGCAATCATGCTAATAATTCAAGACATGAAGACTTTCTTTAGGAAAAGATTGACACCGAAAAAGTGTGTCCTACTTCTTCAGTTTGACCAAGTCAACGAAGTATGTTTAATAGTCTTTTATCTCTTTATTTTGTCCCCCCCTCCGCCCCGCCTTACTTTAACTTTTCGTCTTTCTCTCTTTTTTGTCTCCCTCTTTGTTACATTTTATGCAACAGGACATTGGTAGTCACTGTAGGGAAATTAATCATAAAATTGTCGGAATTATGAACGACCACATAGGCAAGATGATAGAAAAAGTACACGAAACATTTATAATAGTTAGTACTTGTGCATATTTTATTGCATCTCATTCTAGTGGGAGATCAAGTCTCCAATACCTTCAATCCCTTTCAAGACAATAAGCAAGCAACTTCTTAAACTCCACGAAGCATTAGATGATCTACTACCCACCAATCATCTTCAAGCAAGTGCAATTATATACAGTACACAATATAATACAATATAATACAATTATATTATATTACTGTGGTGAACTCTTGATATTACGTATAGCTTCTGTTACTATTGGTCATGATAGCCTGTTTTAATATGTAACTGAGCTATTACTATTACTACTACTTATTATTAGGCATTGTTTCAGAGCATAGAGGTACACTTTAAGTCTCACCTCAAGAATCATTTAACAAAGCAAGGGATCTCTAATAATGGAAGCACTGAACACGGGTATATCACAAAAACTAATAATAATTATTATTATTGCTATTACAGGATAGTAAATGCAGAGCTAACAAACATGAAAGGTGTTCTTCAGCCACTAGAACACGTCAATGCGTTTGGTAGCAGCTTATTTGATATATGGACGGACAGCAACAGATGATGAAATTATTGTTTTATAATATTATTATTATTATCGTTTTATTTATAATTTATTATAAGTTTGATTAAAGGGGTCAACCCCTTTTATATAATACAAATCGTTTTAAAAAGGTAAAAAAACTACTAGTCCAGCTGGTGTTTCCTCACAGAGCAGGAGATGGGATTATGTGGTGAACAGCAATACTCATACAATGGGAGTTTGTAATATACACCAACCAAATGGAACGCAACATGATATGAAAAAAATTTAAAAAAAGGTCTACCACAGGTGGAACAAGTGTCATAGTGACTCAGCATATCTATATAATAAAAGATGATTATTGTCCAACACTTAATGATTCAAGTCACTGACCTGCTAGATGAGTCGGTACTGCTCCTTCATTCTTCCATTCATTGATTTGTGTGCGTATGATAGCTCTTGCTGATAATTCCAGTAGAGATGGGAAGGAGTCTGTAGGACTGTCACTTAGTTTAACTCTCTGATTCTCTTTAATGATTGGATTCTCTTGAGCTACATTTACATAATATAATAATTATTATTAATCTTCTGGTTAGATTTTGGAAAAATTATGGACTATATGACAACTTGTAAATTTTTTTACACCTCTGTTCACAAATCAAAGTGTGAACAGCTATGCTTGTCACCTTGTATAAACTAGAAAAAAAATTTGCCTATCCTTTGTTACCAATGAAGTATAACCCATGGTTACTGGCACATTATTTTCTAATTCAAACTTAATCCTACACACAACATTAAAATACCTGTAAATGTATAGAGAGTCAGACTTCTCATTGACATTGGAAACATTCTAATTTTGTTTTTTCTGACATGAAGCTCCTTCAAATTTACCAAATTGCCAATCTGTACTGGCAATTGTACTAATCTAAAACAAGAAGTTGATAGTCTCTTTGCATCACTATGAGTCCTCACCTGTTATTGCATAGCCATACTCTTATCAGTGACTTACAATTGCTGAATGATTCTGGCAATTTCACCAGTTCACACCCAGAAAAATCAAGCTCTTCCAGTTTGACGAGTTTTCCAAACTGGTCAGGCAGGCTTTGTAACTTGTTGTCTCCACAGTAAAGTAACTAATAAAGTATAATCACTTAATTGTAATCAAAGTTAGTTAGTATTTACTTTTAAATCCTTTAATAGGCAAATCTCGCTTGGTAAATGGGCTAATTCATTTGAACTATAAATTAATAATGGTACATGAAAGTAAACATTGCTATCTGGCAAGCACAAGTAGGATTCAATGATTCTTACACCTCAAACAACAACAGAATATTTGTCTTGATCAAATAAACTACACTAGTCTGCTGCTTTGTATGGCAATTACTTACTGTAATGTAAGCTCTTCTAAATTTCTAAGTTTTCCGATGGAAGAAGGTAGGCTAGAGATACGATTATTAGTGACACAAAGGATATTTAACAAGGAAAGAGAGCCAATCTCGTTAGGAAGAGAAGTCAAGTTGTTATTCTTTAGATCAAGTTCACGCAAAAAAGACAAGTGACATATGCTGCTCTGTAAATAGAAGAGAGGGAGAGAGAGAGAACATTACAAAAGGGAATTAAAGGAGAGAGAGAGAGAGATCAAAGGACACTGCATTTACTACATTACTACAAAACAAAAGACTAAATATAGACTGAAGAACATACCTCAACTACAATAATTTAAATGCAATGCAGTCTTTAGTGGTGGGAACATAAGGCACGTGCAGTATCTATATAAGGTATGTCATGTACTGACCGGTATCATTGCTAAGTGATTGTATTGTAGAAACAATTCCTCAAGGCCACTTAGTGATCCAATGTCTTCTGGTACGAATGATAAGCGATTGTTTGATAAATTAAGACTTGCCTGTGTATACAATAATAACAATTGTAAGATACCTACTAGACTTATTAAATAAGGTGTTACTATTTTTGTGGTGGGTCTAAACTCTAATGATATACACTGAAGCCAGTCAAACATTCAAACAGTCACAATTATAGAGTACCATCCATTGTGCATCTTTGTTATTATTACCGTAAAGGTTCCAATGGAACCAATGTTAGGTGGACATTTCTTTAGATTGCAGTAGCTAATGTCAACTTCAGGATATTTTCCATAACTGACTGCTTCATTGACTGTTCTTACAGCATACTCATACCCAGTACCGTGAGCTTTACAAACTGAATCATGTTTGCCTTTACAACAACTGGCACAATAATTATACCTATACAATAAAAGCAAAGGTGCAAACAATAGTGTAAACACAGACACCCGATGGCAAAATAAATAACAGGAACTCACTTGCATTGCCTTTTAGCATCCAACCTATGACATCTAAAAAGTACAGTACAAAGGACTAATATAATTCACAAATTCATTGAACCTCTGGCAAGGCCTTAGTAGTGAGAGATCATATGGATGCAAGGGTTCCGGTAATATTGGCTCTTCTAAAGGGGCTACTGTAAAAAAAAAATAGCTTCCCACGACTCCTCTTCATTTTGGGTCTCGTTTTCTTCGCTTTTTGTTCCTGTCTCACTAGCTGTTCCTTTCTTTTGCTTCTTAGAGCGACGTAAACCCCTTCTTGCTTTATGATGTCCTTTAAACAGTTGCAATACTTTATTTTTAATGTTCACTATCTGAAATAATGCAAGGAAAGAGAGAGAAATGGCCACAGCAACCAGAGTGGATCCTCCTATCAGTATTGCCATGATGACGCCATTTTCCATGACGGGTGTGGCTCAACTTTCTGCATAATTGATGAGTTTGAGTAGCTGCAACTATTTAAGAAGGGCTTGAAGCAGGCAGTGCTCATTAATTTTGACTGCAAAAAGAAATGATGATTGTTTTCCTTCTTCTGCTGTCATTATTAAAAGTAAGAGCATTACTAGAATCTATGAGAATTATGCTATTTTCCAGTACACTGAGAGCAATTGGGTATTAGAAGTCAGATTGTATCAGTATAGCAATCCTACCAGCAGAAGATCAGATAGGTTTTGCTGTGACACAGATGGAGTCTTAGATGGCATATGCATGAACCCTTGTGATAATGATTTTCTGTTTTGTTTAAGAGTCGATGTGACATCACCAAGCTGTCAGTATGGTGCCTACCAAACTGGATTGGTTGCTGGTGGGGACGAATTGAATTTCACTGGCGTTGCTTCAATTGGTGAGAATAATGTGTCTCATCCATTATTGTTTAATGGAACGCAATGGCCAGAGAATGTAAGTTTTAAAATCTTGGGGTAGATTACAGCTAAGATGATGATTTTCAATACTTTTATAGAATCAAGTTGATTTCTTAGTTCGGGTGTTTGATTTGGATCCAGATGGATCAAATTTTATAGGTGTAATTGGAACTCCTCTCACATACACTAATGCTAGTGGGGGACCATCAGACATTATTACCCTAAGGGGTATCAGAATCAGTATAGAAGCAAGCTTTGATTTGAGATGTGATACGAATTATTATGGCAGTCAGTGCGACGTATTCTGCAGAACTCATGATGAAGAGCTTGGCCACTATACTTGTGATTCTCAAGGTAACAAGATATGCAGCGGTCGCTACGACATTGAAACCAACTGCACAATGTGTAAGTTATAATGCCGCCACCTACTAAAGCATGTGTTACCATGATTCCTTATTTAGTTCTTCCTTGTGATCCCGTTTGCAACTCTAACCAACAATGCATTCCTTCTAACAATACCTGTGCCTGTATAGATGGGTGGAGAGGACCAGCTTGCAATCAGTGCACTAACTGTATGCTAGGATATTGCATACACCCACTATTGTGACTACTAAACAATGACCATTTATAGATACTGTTTGCATACATTTGCATGTTAATGAAAAATTGTGGTCTTTCTAAATATCTTTTTATTGTTTTTTTATAGGTACAGCAACTCCAGTAACTCCATTATCAACAACAACAATGGCAACAATGATACCAAGCACTACAGCAACCAGTGGCTCACTTCCCACCAACAGTAGAAGAACAGCAACTATCATTTATGCTTCTATTGCTGTTGGGGGGCTTTTGATAATAACTACTATGGTTGTACTGATCATTATCACCCTGTTCTTTGTACATAAAAGGAATAATAAAGGTTAGCTGCACTGATCACTGCAAGGCACTGCCGTAGTTTTGTGGGCGTATGTTTATACTTGTTAAGTGTGTGCATGATTATACTTTCCTTTTGTTGTGTCTCACAGCTACTAATTATATTATCACCATACACCCTTACCTTTTTCTAATGCAAAATTAACATAGTACACGATGCATGTCATATCATACATGTATCAAAGATTGCTTTGACTTTTAAAAGAATTTATTAGAAATTAGAATAAACAAGTGGAGAACAACAAAACACCAACTCTCAACTCTATTTATACAAAAGACAAGGTTCCAGAAACTTCTGGACACATACAAATACATGAAGGTTACACAGCCTCCTGGAGGGTTCCAGAAAGTACAATAATACAATACAGAGATAATACACATTTTCTAGAATGTTCCAGTCAGTAAAATAATAAAATACAATTAGAGTAAAATAATAATTAATACATAGACATAGGTCCTTTACACATGGAGTTTGAAATCTTTAAATACGGGTATACTACTTTTATGCTATGGATTATATTTTCTTCAATGTTCAATTTGCTTTGGACTTTTACTTTTTAGGAAACAATCCTGACAACATGTATACAGCACCAATTGATAATCCAAACTATTCATTGTCAGCTGCTAACAATTCAACTGGTGATAGTACAATCCGGTCATTGCCAAATTATACAACTAATTATTACTTAGCAACAAATGGCAATGATTTCACAAGGGAACTCCCAAATCCACTTTACGAGGAGAAAAGATTTGTAAGAAGTAGCTCTGAGAATGAAAATATTTACTCTCTTGCCTCTGAACCTGACAATGATGAGATTGAAGGATCAATTCCACGATCTTATGATAGCCCAAGTCATCCAAATGAACCTGAAATTGTTTATTCTCAAATATACAAGAATTCATCTCAAAGTATATACAATGAGGGACATTATGAATTTGATCCTTCATTCGAGTTTAATTAGCTGAATTTAATTATTATTATTATTATTGTTGCTTGCTGTTATTGTATTTTAAGAATAATCAATTTATGCCCTTTAGATTTAATTGAAAAACTCTAAAAAGAAAATAATTATGCTACACAGTACACATCCCACTTTTAGGTGTGGCTCACATTAATTTTATGGTTTAAATAACTATTTGAGCCACACCTTAAAGTTTTAGTTTCAAAGAACAAGAAAGCTCACCAGAAAGATGCTTTTACTGAAGTTTACTCTTTTCTGCTTGCTGTTGTCACTGGTAATGATAGAGATAAAGTTTTGTCACGACTTTTATTCATTTACTTTGTGCATAGAAAACAGCTAATGCAGGTTATGTGCTCCAAGTAAAAGCAATATCATGGAATGGTACTGGCTATGATGCTGCTGGAAGATGCTGTGATGGTTACACATGGAAATGGTTTGAATTCCAGTGTGACAAATCCTGTGAAAACAGTTTTCTCTTTTGTATGCGGCCATTTGGTTACAACAGAACAAGTGAGCACTGCCCACTTGGCAGCTACCAGACTGGAAATCTTGGGTCTAATGCAATTGGTTTTAAAGCACCTCTCAGTGAGGGTATCAGCAATCCAATGAACTTTACTGGATCAACTTGGAGAGTATGTTCTTTAAATAGTATTTAATGTTTATCATGCATTGTATCTGCAGGGCTCATTTCAGCTTTATGTAAAAGTGATGGATGATGATGCAAACAACAATGCTGACGATTTAGTAGACAAAGTTTACATTCAGTTTACTTCATTGCAGATCAATTCTGCATATACTGTTGCCTCTTCATACAATGGTAGCCATGGGGGAGGAGCTATCACTCTAAAGTTTCGTGTTCTATGTCAGGAGAACTATTACGGACCAACTTGCAGTACTTTTTGTAATCCAACAAATACCAATGGGCTAGGACATTACACTTGTGATAACACTGGACAAAAAAGATGCATAGATGGCTGGAAAAATGAGACCAATAATTGCTTGACAGGTAAGCAATCACTACTCTGATTAAATTAGTTATAAACACATTTTTAAAGCTGTTTGCATCAAGGAATGTAACCCAGTTGGTGGTGTTTGTTTATTCCCCGGTAACTGCATGTAAGTATAAAACCATTTTTATATAAAGATTTCTCCTATGTAACACCAGATGTAACCCTGGATGGAGTGGCAGTGATTGCTCAAACTGCACAGAGCGTCCAGGCTGCCGTACGTATGACCAAAATTTTTGTAATTACCTTTTTGATCTTATTTATTGATTTATTAGTCAATGGATACTGCACTGTTCCAAATGAGTGCATCTGTAACAGTAACTGGGGTGGCTACAACTGTTCTATCGGTGAGTCTAAATGTCTGCTTGACTGTTATAAGGTTGCCCTTTAGCATTAGAGTAGAGTAAAGCCCTAATGAAACTTAAGTGATACACCGACTCACTTCACCACATAACTCGAAAAACTTGATAGCTCAATCAAATCAAGTTACACTACTGTAAACATGCGTAAAGTTAGAAGTGGCTTCCTTTGACCATGTAAACAATACTTCCCTATGCATGTGGCTTTACAATTACCTCGGTAAAATTAAATTTAATATATATATATATATATATATATATTATAGATCTTGTGCCATGCAAAAACAGGGCTCCCTGTCAGAATGGAGCTAATTGTACGGACACTGGTGCTGGTGGGTATGTGTGTGCGTGTGCAGCAGGATATACTGGGATCAATTGTGAAACTGAGATTAACGAGTGCCAGCCGAATCCCTGCCAGAACAGTGGCATATGTACAGTAAGAATAAAAGCTCATTGACACTCATTGAAATTGATTTTAACAGGACAAGTTGAATGGGTTCACGTGTACGTGTTCACCTGGTTGGACTGGATCAACTTGTGTGAATAATATTAATGACTGTAGCCCAAACCCTTGTGTTTATGGATCATGCACAGTATGACTTAATGTTTACTACTTTTTATTTTGATTATATTTTTATTATTAGGATGGCATAAACTCTTATACATGTTCTTGCATATCCGGTTATACTGGCCCCAACTGCACTGTTAATATTGATGACTGTGCCCACAATCCTTGTCTTAATGAAGGGATTTGCATTGTATGCAAGAATGCCAAATAATTATTAATGAACTCTCAATCCTTTTATATAGGACGGTATCAATAGTTATAGTTGTAACTGTCCATCTGGATATTATGGCAAAAACTGTGAAGCAGTTCTTGATAGATGTGCCAACTCACCATGTCAAAATGGAGCTAACTGTACTGTAAGTTAAGGATAAAAGAGTCATGTGGTTTAAGTATCTTCATTAGGACACTGCTAATGGCTATGTATGCTCATGCTTGCCTGGATATACTGGAATAACTTGTCAATTCAATATAGATGATTGTGTCCCAAACCCTTGCAATAATGGAATTTGCCTGGTAAAATACTACTACTATAATGAACTCAAAATTGAATAATTTATATCATATTAGGATTTAATTAATGATTATTATTGCACCTGTGCTTCTGGATGGACAGGAAAGAACTGCAGTGCAAATATTGATGATTGCACTCCTAACTCTTGCTTTAATGGAGGGACTTGTATTGTTCGTAATTGCCATTTTTATTACATTTTCTGATATATATTTATGTCTTTATGATGTGTAGAAGTTTGAGCTGATTCTGGCTACAATTTTTTAAGTTACAGCCATTTTAAGAAAATGCCAAAATTCTGAATAATATCCAAGGATAGCCCATGGTTTTTTCCAAAAAATGGCTCCAAAATCACCCCAAACTTTTATTACATTTTCTGATACATATTGATGTACTTATGCTGTGTAGAAAGTTTGAGCCGATTCTAAACTCAAATTTTCGAGCTATGGTCATTTTTTAAAATGAGCCAATTTTGAAAATTTTTCCTGTACTATTATAGCCCATGGTTTTTCCCAAAAAATGGCTCCAAAATCACCCCAAATTTTTATTACATTTTCTGATGTATATTGATGTACTTATGCTGTGTAGAAAGTTTGAGCCAATTCTGAGCTCAAATTTTAGAGTTATGGTCATTTTTAAAAATGAGCCAATTTTGAAAATTTTCCCTGTACTATAGCCCATGGTTTTTTCCAAAAAATGGCTCCAAAATCACCCTAAATTTTTATTACATTTTCTGATGTATATTGATGTTCTTATGCTGTGTAGAAAGTTTGAGCTAATTCCGGCTTCAACTTTTCAAGTTACGGCCATTTTTAAAACACCAAAATTCTGAAAAATACCCTGTACTATAGCCTATGATTTTTCTCAAAAATGGCTTTGAAATCAGCCCAAATTTTTATTATATTTTTTGATACATCATCACACGAACTATATGATATAACAGCTGAAATTATGTATATATTTTTTATGTTTCATAACAGGACGGTATCAATAATTATACTTGCTCATGTGCTCAAGGCTATGATGGAATCAGCTGTCAGATCAACATTAATGATTGTGCTGACTCCCCGTGTCAAAATGAAGGCACTTGTGTTGTAAGCATAAAGTTAGAATTTTGTTTTTGATTAGAATCATTATATATAGGATGGAATAAACAGCTACAGGTGTTTCTGTCCTCCTGGGTATTACGGAGTACACTGTGAGAGTGTCACAAGCAGCTGTGCATCATCCCCTTGTTCAAATGGAGCTACGTGTGTGGTACGTTTGAGATTTTAAAACTTTTAATAATAAAGTTTATAATTTTTTTTATATAATAAGGACAAAATCAATGGATATAGTTGTGTGTGTCCAACTGGATTTACTGGAACAAATTGCTCAGTTGATATTGATGACTGTGAATCGAATCCTTGTATTCACGGAGCCTGCAATGTATGTACATAATTAATACGTTATGGCATCATTTTCATTTGTTTGTGCAGGATAGCATCAATTCATTTACATGCACATGTGATACTGGATATAATGGAACTCTGTGTGACAGAAACATCAATGACTGCATACCTAATCCTTGTAAAAATGGAGGAAACTGCACTGTTAGCTTGCATATATTGCTATTTGCTAAAATTTATGATCTTCCCTTAGGATGGAATTAATTCATACACATGCACATGCCCATTGTTATACACTGGAAGTAAATGTGATATACCAATCAGCATTTGTTCTTTAAATCCGTGTGAAAATGGTGGCTCATGCGTAATCACTGATGAAGGCTTTGCCTGTCTATGCCCTTATCCTTATACTGGGAAACTATGTCAGATTCATGTTAACGGTTGTCAATTAAACCCATGTAGAAATGGAGTCTGCTTTGTAAGTGAGATATCAAATCGGTTAAGCACAATATTTATTGTATTGTATTTACACTAGAATACACCAAATGGGCATTATTGCTTGTGTGAAAATGGCTATCAAGGCACTAATTGTCAAATACATCTTTGTAATCCGAACCCTTGCAATAATGGTGGACAGTGCTCTGTGAGTTGCTTCAGTATTGCATAATTTACATGAGATTAAATCCTGATTTTATGTTTAGATTTCTGGTAATAGTGCAGTCTGTCAATGTCAGCCTGGCTACACAGGGACTACTTGTGAAATTGATGTAAATGAGTGCCTACCAAATCCCTGCATCAACGGAAATTGTATTGATCTCATCAATGATTACCGCTGCTTATGTTATCAGTATTACAGTGTAAGCATTTCAAATTTTGTTGATTCAAAGCAGATCATTCTGTGTTGATTTGGTAGGGAAGAAATTGTGAAGACTTTTACAATTCGTGTGCATCTTCTCCTTGCCAGAACAATGGGAACTGTACCAATCTACCAAATACATACAACTGCTCCTGTCCACCTCTTTACACTGGAAAGAGTTGTGAAGTTGATTTGACACAGCCTTGTAGTTATAAGCCCTGTTTAAATGGTGGTACTTGTTCTTCAGTGAATAACACCAATAGGTTTCAATGTAGCTGCCCAACAGGATATTATGGAATCAGATGCCAAAATGTGACCACAATTATCAGTGGTGAGTTACTTTTTTTCTGGCTAATGTATTAAGGTAATGTTATTCCATCAACAGGACCAGTTGAAACTGATGGAAAAGTTGGTATGTCCAATGGATCTGTTGCTGGTATTATTGCTGGATCGATTGCCTTTGTAATTTTAATTGCAATACTAGCAATTGTACTAGCACTAGTCATCAGACACTATTATTTATCAAAATCAGACGAGTCAATGTGTAAGTGAAGTCAAAGCCACTATCTCAATGTTCATAGGACATTTCTAGTTGTTGATTATACCCAAAACAGAAGTGGCAACACCTTGATGGCTGAAAACCCTTTGTATGTTCCTCCAGAGTCTATAGTTGATGATTCCAGTAGTGTTGCTGGTAGTGCATTCCATCCCTATGATTCACTCCACTATTATGCTAATACTGGTCAATCACAGAGTGATGAACCTGAGTATGCAGTTCCTCGTTATACTGGATCATTCAAAAGTATTTTGACTATTTCTTGTGTCGTTAAATTATATTTTACTCATTCAGAAAGATCCAGTGACACTGGAAGTGAAGACTCAAAGCCCTGATGATGCATCCATGCATACTCATTTTTAAATTTTCAATCTCTTTTCAATCGCATTGCATTAACTTCCTTATTTACTTGTGGTTTTGTATGTATAGAAATAATAATAATAATAATAATGAACAATAGAGCCATTCAATTCAATAGCTGCTTGGTCATAAGTAAGCTAGATAGAAGCAATATAATCTACTATATAATATATAATATGTCTATTGTCTCAAATAGATTTAGCACAGCGAAAGCCCAAGTTATGTGCAGAACTGTCAGGTGTGTTTTGACTCCTTGCAGCACATCTGTAACGATAGCAATATTCTTTATGGCACATGTAGGAGCCACCTTTCTTGACTTTTTCAGAGCCAGTTGGTGGCCCCTTTGGGTCTTTTTGGTCCTTCTTTGAATGATGAGTAGTCCACCAGTCTGAGACCCATTCCCAGACATTACCCACCATATTGTACAGACCAAACTTATTAGGCGGAAAAATATCAACAGGTCCAGGACCAGCATAGCCGTCATCAAGAGTGTTGTTAATTGGAAATTTTCCCTGCCAAATGTTCATCCAGTGCTCTCCGTGAGGTGTAGGGTTGTTTCCCCATGGAAACAGTCTGTCCTTTAGTCCTGCTCTACAGGCATACTCCCATTCTGCCTCTGTAGGTAATCTCTTCCCAGCCCACTTGCAATAAGCATCTGCATCATTCCAGGATACATGCACTACTGGATGTGACATTCGTCCCTTAATGTCGCTGTCAATACCTTCAGGCTGTCTCCATGAAGCATTATCCACTGGCAGCCACCATGGAGCATTAGCAACAGCTTGAGTTATGCCTTCTTGTACCTCCTTACTTATAAAATACTCCACCACAAATGAATTACCAAATGACTCTGTTTCAGTAACGTAGCCTGTATCGGATACAAACTTTCCATACTCATCATTGCTCACCTCATATTTGTCCATGTAGAAACTAGTGATTGTGACTGATCTCGAAGGTGTCTCTCCATCCTCAGGAATGACTGGTTTATCCAATCCCATTTTAAATACACCACCTGGAATAAGAACCAACTCATTCTCTGGGATTTTTTCCTCAGCTTGGGCTTTGGGCTCTTCACTCTCTTCCTTTTCCACTGACTTCTTTTCTCTCTCTGTTATGCTTTCCCTCAAGGAGCCACCACAGCCACAGTCCTTTTCTCCTTCATCTTCTTCCGTGTCAATACAGATCCCTTCAGCATCACAGGTTTCATCAACGTTCCCATAACAGGCTCCAGCTAAAAGAAAAAGGAGTAATAGCACAACTTTTCCACCCATTCCACTATGCCAAGAATTGCAGCCACACCCTACAATTCAAAGCAATACAGCCACGCCTCGTAGATAATTCATAATGATTGGATAAATCAAGTTAAAAAGAGATTAATAGTTAAATGCTAAGTGTCAGGAAGAGGGAGCAGTAGGAAGCTACTATGTCTTAGCAGCAACAACTCCAGGATTACGTAACACAAGAATGACCGAGTCTCCTCTAATGAACATCTTTGCAATGAACCTGTCCTTATTGACAGGGCGAGCTTTCTTCTTTCCTTTCCCAGTCTTTGGTGTCTCGGTCCACATTTCCTTCACATTCTCGAGAACCATGTTGAAATGACGGTCAAAAGCCTTCACTCTTGCAAGGAGTTTCCGATTGTTACGACAATTAATAAGAACCTAGGCAGAATAATATAAAATGATCATAAATAAAATATTATAAAATAATCATAGCTTTTCTATGCATACATACATTAATACATAGTTCTTCAGTTACATTAAGATAAGCTCAAATTCTACTACGTAGCTGCAATAATTAAAAATTAACTCTTTGTTAATTAATGAGTGGGAGTGGCCCCCAGAATATTAAAAATTAAATTAAAAAATCATTAGCAGATTCAGTGCACATTTATTTTATAATTACCTGTGTGTTGTACTTCACGGACTGTGTTAAAAGTGATAGAGGACCAGTGTTAAACTCCTCTTCCTCCTTCTTCTGTAACTCCTCCTCTGACATCTCACTCTTTGGCTTTGCTCTGAAACATAAAAAATTATATCCATGTTCACTGGCTCACACATAACAAGTATAAACTTACAAAGCCATATCTACTCCAGAAAAGCTAAAGAAAAAAAAACCACACAAAAAGTCAAAAACAAGAATTACCCTCCAAATCACACGTGACAGTCACCCTCTGCGCATGCGTATTGTGTGCATAGATCTAGCTGCAGCTGGTCCACATGCAAACTAACAAAGGGGGTGTGTCTGAAATGAATCTTCATCTAATTGCACTCTTCTTATTCCTCTCTTTGTCATGGCAAGTAGAAGCTGGAGGAAAACTTCAAATAGGAATCAAGAAGAAAGTAGAAAACTGTGAGAGGAGAACAAAGAAAGGTGACAGGCTTCAAATGCACTACACTGTAAGACCACGCCTAATGACCAACACCCATGCTACTTGTTTGATTGTATAAATAAAATTAATTGTAATGTACAGGGTACTCTGAAAGAGGATGGATCTCAGTTTGATAGCAGTCTCACGCGAAATGAACCGTTTACATTTACACTTGGTGTGGGTCAAGTCATAAAAGGTATTAACAATACCCTATATGTCATTTCATTAACAAGTACTTCTAATAGGATGGGATCAGGGACTTCTAAAGTAGATTATTGTTTCACCATTTAACACTTAAATATTAACTTGTTACTGCCCTTTAGCATGTGCGAAGGAGAGAAAAGACGTCTGGTTATACCCTCTGATTTAGGCTATGGAGACAGGGGAGCTCCTCCAAAGATACCAGGCTAGTTAATAATAATGATACCAGTCTTTATTGAATCTGGCTATTTGAATATTATATTTGAATGTCAGTAATCAAAGGATGACTGACATGATGTTGTATCACTTTAGTCTTGATTGTATGTGTCAGTTTCAATCTTGTTTAATGCCTTGAGTGACAGTTGCTCTTTTACTGTCTGTGTCCTTTCTTGTCTGCATTATTGTAGGGGGTGCTACTCTAGTCTTTGAGGTTGAATTACTCAAGATAGAACGACAAGGAGATTTGTGATGTCATTCAAGTGACAACTAAGAACATCACCATCTTTATTGAGTGTGTGTCTGTATGTGACTCTGCTGTGTATTAGCTAGATTACTGACACACACACATTATTGCCAATTATTTTTCATAGGATTCTGTTAATGCTCTTTTGACTACAAAATGTACAATCAATTCTGTAGTATTGTAAAAATACACACGCACACATATACACACACATACATACACAGTTAATTAAAAGGTATGGAAGCTTAAATGTATTACAATTAAGTAACGATAATAATAATAAATTATTATTATTATTGGTTCTACTATAATAATGACTTATGCTTTGGAATCCATCCTATGAAATGACCTTCCAATCTTTTTCTTTCCTGTATCAACCATTTTCTTCATTGCTTCTTGCCTCCCACTGTCTTTATGATCAAACATGCAGTTGTGCTGTTCAGGTAAACGATGCATTAGACAGAATACGTATCCTAGCAATTTTATATAAATAATAATTAAATTAACGAGAAATTGTCTGTTTTGTCAACTAAAAATGACCTACAACTATTCCAGTTTGTTATACCAAGAAGCTATGAACAAATTAATTGTCACGGGCTATAAATCTTTCAACAAAACAAGATTTCTCTTAATCACTATTTGAATGCCAAAGCATTTCTTATTGTGATGAAAACATTAGAGGAATTACAGCCCACAGAGTTTACACTCATTCATGAAAATATTAATTTGTATTACATGTGTGCAATAATGTATGCTACAACAATGACATAGTGGGACTTACCACATTTACAGTGGCCTAATTCTCTCTGAGCTAGTTCTAATTTAACTCGACATATCCAGCATTTCTTTTTATTCTTTTGAACTGGTCTTTCTTCCTCCGGTTGAGATGATTGATTATCTATTGAATTCTCGTCTTTGGCTGTATCCATGGCCTCTGGTTCCGCGGGGCCATCGTGGCTCTCTGTTGATGTAGTTGTTGCCGGTGAAGCTGTCGTTGCCATAGAACTGAGGGGAAGGGAAAGGAGGCCAGTAAGTAGTGACGATGTAGTTGTGTTCTTGTTAGCGTTGTTGTCAGTAGTAGTTGATGACTGTGATGCTTTACGCAAATGTTCTACAGTAAAGAAAAAGGGAGATACATACATGTTTTTTTAATAAAAATAAATCAATATAATATGGATCTTCAATTTTGTGTCGTGTTTTTTAAAGTGACAATGTTAAGTATCACACAAAAGGAAATTAATATTTCTATCCCATACCTTTATAACACTGTGAACAGAGGTTCATTGTGCTAGCCGACCTAATGATAAGGAGACAAGAGTCGGTAGAGCCTGGTCATCCACACATACTCTACATGAGAGAACTTACCCCCAGAACCCACAAGGACATCTCTTTGGTTGATCATCTGCCTCTGCCATGTCTTTACCTTCACTGTAACCAGTTCTCTCCGTCACCCTCGCACACTACGCTAATGTCTCGTCTTTTATGTCCTTTCCTCTTTCAGCGTCTTCTGAGGATGATGTAGGCTATGAAAATATGGGCATGGTAGATTGGGCGGGGTCATTGTATAACACATCGTATCCCATGACAACAAAACAATGGCTCTTGGCCTCCCGAACTATAGAGACACTTTTGCCGGATTTAGCAAACACTTTTGGGCTGGATCAATCCCAAAGGATAGATGGAACGAGCTAGTGTGGGTCGACAGGTAAAAAATAGAGGCTAACCCATGATTTGATTCTTTCTCTTTTGCAGATGGTACAATCCTTTGGATAATAGAAGCAGGACTCCCTCCCAAAGGCACAAATTCCTAGCACAATCCAGACCAAACATACCCCAACAATGGACACTGCCAGAGATTAGTCAACCTCTTGGGTTTTTCTCTCGTTCTAAGGAGCAACAAAGTCAGTTTCCTGATCTGAAGACCAGGTGTGAGAGATGGTCCACTCTGAGAGAAATGCTGCCATCAAGAGGGCACACATTGTCTGCACGTCCACCAAAATGGGGTACGAATGAGTCCCGTCCACCAGTGATGTCAGCAAGAAGGCCGAAAAGATATCCACACCTTAATAGCCCCATGACCAAGTAAGGATCTCATTATCACTTAAGACTGTGCAAACACTTAACTCAATCATAACAATAACTGTATCGTTCCCAATTAAAATTGTGCACAATTTACAAGCACACACACATACACACATTGGTGGTTGCATGAAGCTCAGAGCCATTATGTATACTTGTACATGTACATCATGTGAGCTTACAAGTTACTATTATTCTCATAGCCAAATTTAACCACAGTATCACACATCAGTAATCCAATAGTATAGTGTAATAGTAAATACCTATTACATAAAGGAAGCTATCAGTACTATTAATGTTAATTTTGTTCCTTCTATAGTTATATAGATGACATGCACAAGAGTGATCGACTTTTCAGACTCTATTAAATCTATTTCATCTCGGTAGCAAATAACAACAGTATCAATAATAATAATTATTATACATTTAAAACTTTTTTGTCTAATGTATATAAGTTGATTTGGTTAAAAACTAAAAAAGACGTATATCAAACAAAAGTGCCTTCACCGCCCCCTTCTGCTAACGAGAACTCTCTATTCTCATAATTCAAGAAACCATTCAAGTCCGTGAGCATGTTTACAACAGTCTCTCCTTGTCCACTATAATTATATTTTAGAGACAAAACAACAACGGTAATAATAACATTTATTTCCTTAAGGTTGACAGCAGTGACACAGATACACATTTATATGTATATATATGTACATTTATATGTATTATACATTTGTGCACATGATACATTATTAGCTTACCTTTTAATCAAATCTTGTAATGTAATATATCCTGGACACATAGGATTAACCATGTCAAATATTTCATGCTAGTACAAGGTTAATTCAATGAACCATTATACTAAATCAATCAGTGACTCTCACTTCAACATCTTCAAATTTGACAGCTTCATATCCCTGTGCTTCTATTAGCTCTTGCATTGCCTAAAATAGAAGTGGTGCATACAGACATAATGATTTGCATAATTTATTATAATTGCATAATGATTAATTTTAAAGTTGTTCCGAATCTCCCTGTACTAGAATTTTGGCCAAATTTCCCCAAAAATGACTAGGAGAGAATTCTAAATTTTTATAATTTTTTTGATATACATACATGTCCTTATGTTGTGTAGAAAGTTTGAACTGAAGTTGCTCAAGTTTGCTAGTTAGTTTACTTAGCAAACTTTGTGTGGGAAATCCTGTTCTAGAAAGTCAAGCTGCTATTTTTAAAACTGTGAGTAAGCCTTATTTCTGTTTCATGCAAAAACATCTAATTGAATCTATCTTTATAAAAATGAATTGAATGTGCAATTGTCCAAAGGTCAGGTAGCATACAAGACTAGATAAATAAACTTACCCGAAAGAAATACTTTATACTGAAACTAGTCAGTGCACTTTTACCATCAATATCCAGGAGTCTAAAGAAATATTGCAAAGATTGGGGCTCGCGTTTATTCTCCATTGCTAAAACAAAATCCAAATAAGTTCTATAATCCTAAAAATGGTGAGACACTATGATTCAACAATCATGATAATAATAAGCATACAACTTCTCCTTCATAAGTAAGGCACTCCTGAAATATTCTGTCAATGAAAACTTTAGTCAAAGTCCCCGTTCCAAATCTAACAAAGTAAGTTATTTTTGCATCGATGCTTATTTAAAACTACCTTGCAAGTTCTGATTTGTTAAGCATACCATTGTGATCCACATCAAGCGATAGATATTGACCTGCAGAATGATAACAAGTGATGTCTTGTAAGCATGCACATTCCTTACCGTATACTTTGAGAGCTGACTGTGCAGAAAACCAATTTGCTTCCTCAGCTTCAACACTGATGTCATCATCTCTGAGCTACAGAAAAATAACACAAATGCATGTATTGCGTGGGCAAAAATAACAGTATCACGTGATGCAAATCTATTAATAGTAACATGCTTATGCCACGTCTCACTGACCACGACGGAAAGTGTTGCGAGTTCATCGACAGCGCGTAGGTGAGCCCGTCATCATCAGCAGCATAGTGAAGACTGTGTAGCAAGGGCTGTGCTCTTTATATAAAGAAAGAGAAGAGAAGAGGGACCAGTATCAAAGAAGAGGAACCATAAACACGAAAGAAGAGGAGCACCTTAAATACAAATAATGGGAAACCTTGCCTCAAAATTAAAGGGCCTGCTTTCATCACTTGGTGGATCCGAGGCTCGCATATTAATGCTTGGACTGGACGCTGCCGGTAAAACCACCATCCTATACAAGCTCAAACTGAACGAGACAGTCTCTTCCATACCAACGATAGGCTTCAACGTGGAGACTGTGACACCCGTCAAAGGTGTAACATTCACCGTCTGGGATGTAGGTGGACAGGACAAAATCAGGCCATTATGGAAGCATTACTTCAACAATACTGAGGGCCTTGTTTATGTAGTGGACTCCTCCGACAGAGCTAGGATCAACGAGAGTAGAGACGAACTAAAATGGATACTGGATTCCGATGAGATGAGAGGAGTACCTGTCGTTGTCCTCTCCAACAAGCAAGATCTTCCCAATGCCCTCCCGCCAGGTGAAGTGGGTAGCAGACTCGGTCTTAACCAGATGCGTACCAGGGACTGGTACATACAAGGCACGTGTGCCACTAATGGCGATGGGCTCTTTGAGGGTATGCAAGAGTTAGCTAGACTAGTGAAGGAATTCAAGAAAACCAGAAGATAGATCCTATAGCTTTAACATTATCACTCTCTCTCCTCTCCCCTCTTTACTTTCTTTTATTAAGAGCGCAAGCATACATTGTTTAGTGAGTTTTATCAATGTAATGATGACTTTATCATTCTCAGTTATATTATTATTATGCTGTTTATGTGTGTACTAACTAATCAATAAAATTATTATTATCATTATTGTATGTATTATTAATTATCTTCTTAAGTTTGATTCAATTATTATAATAAGTGCATTTATGCTCTTCTTTTACATGTCACAACTGTCCAATTATTTACTTGCACAAACACAATGTATAATGTATGTGTCGTTATTTATAATTATTATTATTACTAAAAAATAGAGACAAATTCAAAAACTCACTTCCAGTAAATCATCAAGGAACCCACAGCCCAAGATATCTTGAATTTTTATCCTTCCTATATTAGGAGAGAGAGAGAGAGGAGTAGTTGATATAATGCCTAATAGATTAGTATGTCTGTAATCCCAAGAGTAAAACATATAGGGACATCCAGTCTCTGACACTATCAATATTTGTAGTAGCAGGTTGTACAAGAGTTGATATAAGAGCTTACATGTACACAGGACAAAGATAATAATCAAGGATAATAATAATGGTATCGACATAATGTAGAAATGAATACAGGCGTACACAACCTGATAAGGAATAGATTATGACCATTACGATAAATTCAATATTACAGTGTTTCACAGTGCTATGTATTTAGGACACTGTGGACTAGTCCCTCGGTCCATCTATAGACATGATTATCGTCGATTACACAATTTATAGAGGATTAGCGAGAATGTGTAAAACTAGGAAAGCTTCACTGGGTTCATACTATGAAAGTAACTCTTGCATAGACACAATGGAAAAGTGACAAACAGTGTGAAGCTGTTCTAAGGACACAATATGACCTGTTGTTTTTTCAATACCCTATACTTTCAACAAGAAAGTTTAAAGTTTTCAGTTTTAAAAAAGCCAGTCCAATCTCTAGGTTTATCAACTGTAAAGTTCAAGCATTCCTGGGATGCATGACTTAGACCACACCTATCTAATCAGACCAATAATAATTACTGATTAATGACCATCCCATTATGTAAACACACACCAATGCTGCCATCCATCATAAGATAAGTACATGTATATGTTGTAATGGCTCAAATGATACACATACCATCAGGCAGATAATTATCACTTTACAAATAATTGAGCCCACATGTGATCCTTGTCTAACCTGTCTTTAGGGGATCCAGGAAGAAAAAGAACTTCCTTACGGCAGTGCAGACATAGAATGAGTAGAAGGACTCCTCTAGGTGGCTAAGACGAGGGAGGGTTGGTATAAGCTCAAGTATATAATTCTCAAGATCCTGTTTTTAAAAAATTATTAGAAATTATTTATTATTATTTATTTACAGATTCTCGTAAAAACCCAAGGCCTTGTATGTCAAAAAGACTAAGTCCGATGCGAGTTTGTTGCAACCATACTTTAGAGAGAGAGAGAGAGAGAGAAGAGTAAGTATACTGTAATGTACCGTGTTTATGTAACTATAAATAAACTGTAAACTATAACAAGGAAATCAAACAATCCCATGCTATAAATAAACAGATCTGCACATTAAGGACTTCAATTAGTGACATTATAATGGAGGGAAAGAATAGTGAACAATATGAACGGTTACCTTTTCTCATTACATAAGAGAATAGCTGGGAAATAGATATCCTACAATAACACCAATAAGACATTTTAATTGACACCATCATACCTTCTCAATGGATCGTCTTTAAGCAATTTTGTAAATGTTTCGGTTGTAATGAATGTACTATAAAAGTTAATTTAATTTATAATGCATTTTAATTGTAAATAATTGGTTTTCTTACCGACATTTCTCGGAGACGTCGTTATAGATACTCATGAATTCAAGATAGCCAATCATCTTTAGAACACAATAACGAACATTCTAATTAAAATGTACAAATGCTAACCTGCTCGTCACCAACATCAGGGGGCGTGTTCTTCTCTTCCAGTATTGTCCACAAATTCTACCATAAAATAATTTAAGCATTTTATACAATATTTTATTAGGATTCTGAATATTAATGTTAATAATACACACTTGTAATTCTTCATTGTCCATTAATTCCGAGCTTCGTCTCTGAAGGAAAGCAGCTCTACAATAAAGCATCAATCCTTATCAATGATAATTTCCCAGGCCTACCTTGCCTCCTCTCTCAACTTCAGCTCCAGTACATTCCCCTCACTAGGTGGCTACACAAAAGTACGTAAACATTGAATATAATATATATTGGCTTACTTTAGAGTAAAAACGAGGTATATTTACACCAAGACTGCCTCTAGTAGCTTTTGAGTCTTGTTTAAATTTACAGTAGTATCTTGAGAATAGTTCTTCATCAGTTTCTTTGGGATGAGGAGCAGTGCGAGGTCCTAGTCCAACCAATGAAGTTAATTGTTATAGATCATTTCCTTTGCTTACTTTTTTCTTTACTTTTGCTCTCTTTCTTGTCTGCGTTGAACTGTTTTAATGTTTCTACCCAACTCATGATATTGATTTCAAATCCATTGAGACACGCCCATTATGTCTATAATTACCACGCCCATCTTCTAATTCTGAATTTTCTCATGCTTAAGCCTTGAACTACATTAACAAATCAATGACAATCGAGATGAATTCATTTTTCATTAAAAATACTAACAATTGTCGCTAAACAAGAAAAATAAAAGCTGCTTATAGCTTTTACAAATATGATAGTACAGTGAACAAATCACATACACATACATATAAATACAAAGACACATTGATTAATATGTGATAATCATTTAGTTACAGAGCTTGAGTTGGTTTTAATATTATCAGTGTTATCAAACTGAGGAGGCTTGATCTTCCAAAATGGCTCTTTGCTTCTAGCCACTTCCTGAAGATGTTGAAAAATCATCTCATTTCTATCTTTAGCTTTTCTTACTTCATCCTCTGGAAGTTTCTATTATATAATATGAATATTACTACTCTACTATTTCTATGCTTATTTATATCAACTACAGACTTCAATCTACCTTTTTTACTTCCTCTGATTTAGGAGATACATATGTCATAAGAGCCCATCCAACTCCAGTTATTCCTCCAACCAAAGCTAAAGATTTGATTGCCTGTCGCGCCATTTTGTTTTTCAAAGTGGTGGGTGTGGCTCTGAATCTCTGATAATTTTTTTAAAATTAAAATTTTAAATTTATTTAAAATAATTTTTATCATTAATGGTGGATGTCGAAGTCCGAGAAACAGACAGTACTTCCATTTCAAGTGGTGAAGAAAAGATCCGACGATGAGAGGAAAGTGAAGAAGAGACTGACAGAGAACACATGCATTAGACCCACCACCACACCCAAGAGCACCAGCGGGAAAAAAGAGAAGGGCAAAGATGAGGCCGATGTGGCACCTCCTCCTCCTCCTCAAGCACTACAAACCACACCCACTAAGTCTCCAAGTCTATCAAAGTTCTCTACGGTTGAAGTCCACAGTCCGTTGAAGGCCAGTCCGCATAAAGAAGTAAAGCGAGGCATAAAGTGAGTTATTGAATCAAACCTTCCATTATCTTTGCATTATCATGACAGGAGGGCATTGAAATATGACGATCTGACTAGTGTGACTACCACAACCAAGAATTTGCAACTACCATACAGATACAGGCTGCTAAAGGAGAAGTTCAGATGTGCAAACGTTGCACTCTCAATGTTGGAGAACAGAAAGGAGACTTGCACTTTTCGTAAATTGAAGAAAGCTGTGGAAGAAATGACTAGGAGGTAAGTCAGTGCATTCTCTACTAGTTTATTTTTATTTTATTTTATTTTTAGGAATTTTGAGATGAAGGACATAGCTCAAATGAAGTATCTCTTTCCCGAGAGTTTGGTTCTACGTCAAGAGAAGAATGTTCCAGGTTCACTGACGAAAGAGGAATTCAATAATTACCAGCTAACAATTAGCTCTAATATAATCAAGTGGAGTCCTACAGTATTGCTTGAGAGGGAGAAAATATTTCATGATAAATTACTATCCCAAACAAAAATGCACCACCAGGTTAGTATTAGTAAGATTGAATTGTTGGTATGAGTTTATTCTTTATAACAGGCATACCTTTCTTCTTTAAAACCACCAGTGTATGTTCCTGATGATAAATTATGTAACTGGCACGTCAAATTTGAACTTGGTTCAGTTCCAGATCCTCCGGAGGCTGAAATACCACGCCCACCAGTTAATGGTAGTTCACTTTCTTATTTGGCGTTATGTTGCTATTTTTGGTTTATAGAAAGTTATAATTCAGCAAGTGATCTGTTAAAACAAACTGAGCTAAAACTATCATCAAGAGTGAAAACTGCACTAGAGAAATTAAATAAGGAAAGCCCTCAAAGCAGCGAATCTCCAATTCCCGAGGCCACACCTACTGGTATTCTAAAGGGTGTGTCACCAGCATTAATTGAAAGGGTGTGATTAAGTATTAAGATACCACTGTGACTATTTTTGCTATTTTTAGATACGAAAGAAAGAGGCAACAAAGGCTGCTATTGCCATGACGAGAAGTGACGAAACTGAAAAGCAGCTCATAATGCTATCAAGACTATCAGAAATGTGCCGAATAATAAGACAGTAAATGAGTTTTTCAAATTTTTATATAATTTTCATACTTTTTTTTGTCTGGAAGATTATTTGTAACTGAGGGTAAAGCAGCAATTCTTTGGAGTCACTTATTACAAAAGATATCAGACAGTCATTCGTCTAATTTATCACCTGGTAAGATTTTAGAAAAAAATTGATCACAATGATATGAGTATAACTATCAATTATTGCAAATTTGCAATACAGAACAGGTGGAGGCACATGTGGAGCTGTTAATGAACACGATACCAAACTGGTGTTATACTGTGACAGCCAGAAAGAGCAGGTACATGAAAATGAAGAACAAGGACATGCCACAGCAAAAGATTAATGACTACATTAAAAAGAAAGAGGAGCAGTTTGAGAAATCGTGATGACAAAGTAAAATGAAATGCTCCTCAGTGTTACTATCACTCACTCTCTCATTCTCTATAGAGTTGTATCCCAAACACTAATACACTTACTCTCTTAAAAGTTTTCATTTAATTTTGATCTCATTTACTGTCATGATGCATTTCTGTCACAATGTTTACATCACAATATTTAGTAAATAATAATTTATGATTATTTCTGGATCTTTTATTGATTTTTCTTCCATTCCTCCATATCATGTTCCTTTACTCCTACTATCCCAACTGCACTGCACGACTTATAAAATGCTGCAAATTAATAGAATACAACTACATTCTAATCTATCGAGTTACCTTCTAATACAAGTGGATGCTTTTCGTACATTTTCTTTCTATAGCCTATCAATTGTTATTAAAATAATTATTATAAAACTAATATATTAAAGGTATTTTTTTTACTTTGGCTGGTGTTCATGTTGTGCCACACATAGTATGTTCCAGTAATGGCTGCTACCTCTAAGGCCACGATACCATACAACACAGTCCATCTCCCAATTCTTGTCAGTGGCATCTTCAGTTTTATAACTTGATACTAATAACTGGCCACGCCTTTAAAAATTTAATTTTAACCCTTTCTTGCTAATTTTTATAAATGGCTGCTATGAAGCAGTTTCAGGCCTTAATGAAAGATAAAAAGGTTCTTTTAAATCTTCCTGACATATTTATTGAGCTTTTGTAGTTATGGAGACCTGTCAGTCTACTGGTCGTAGTATTACCAATGACTCTATTGCTCTTTTACTGGTGCCATGTCTCTGACAGTTTAGGTGTGTTAATTTGTTTTATAATTATGATTTTTTGATTAATTTTTCTGTAGCACTGACATCTTTCACCTACTTGGCACTGTTTAACATTGGAGTGTAAGTAACGCATTAGAACGAGTCAAGGATAATTATGATTAATTATTAATTAGACTAATAGTGCATATTGTGTCAGTATGGGCCTCCAGGCAAGTCCCTAATAATGAATTCAATTATGGGTAAGAATTAACATATGCCTATTATGTTGTGTTATGCTATAGGTATGAGAGAGTTAATGTGCTGGCAGTTTTTAGTGTATCTATTATAATGATACTCTGCGGTGTGGTATTAGTAAAGCATAGGTCAGCAGTTATTATATTTATCTATTTATTTTTTTATTTTTTTAATCGTCATAGCCTTGAGAGACTTTTTGATCCACCTGCCGTAACAATGTAGGCTTACTTTTTAAACCTTAAACCTCTAATTTTATTTTCTCTCTTTTACAGGAACAATTTATTCTTAGGATTAGGCGTTGGTCTCTTCATACACTACTCTGTGTTAATACTAATGGACAATCAGCCATTGTTACATGCTGCTGAAGGTATAAGCGCGATGATAACAAGCAGTTTTTGTTATTCCTCTTTGTAGTGGCCACACCCAATTGGTTACAGAATGCTCTAGGTGATTTGGGACAGAGTGTATGCGGCCTTTCCCCACCTCTCGGTCGCCTCTTACTCTATAGACTTAATCCTTTCTCTTTAATGGCTGTTGGCTGCTCTATATCTGTCCTTACCGCTAAGGTTCTCATCGACTTAGAGTCAGTGTCATTCATTTATTGAGATAACTATAGCGCACTTTATTATAGTGACTTGCATCTCGCTGATGTTACGGCGGCCATTTTTAATAGTGCTCTTATATGTGGCACAATGCTACCATTGAGTATCTATACTGGTAAACTACTCCTTCAGGTAAGTATCATTTATTCTAGTTTTATTTGTCTATTGATTTTTTTGTAGACTGCTCCAGAGCACATTTTACCATTACTTGACAAATCAATGAAAGAAGTAATCACATTTATTTATAGTTAGGTTGCTCATATACAGTTATATGTTGTGTTCTTAAGTTACTCCAAAATCTGGCCAACAACACTGTAGTATAGTACAGCGTATTTTGTCAAAAATGGCTCTGAGAGAATTCTCAATTTTTATATTTTCCCCTGATACATATACATGTTTTTATGTTGTTTTGAAAGTTTAAACTGATTCTGATCAAAATTGGATTTTTCACGAATTTTTAAAGTTGCTCAAAAATTGGGCCAAAGTCCCTGTACTATAGTACAGGGATTTTGGTCAAATTTCACCAAAAATGGAAAGTAGAGAATTTTTCATTTTTATAATATTTTCTGATGCATATACATGTACTCAAGTTGCGTAGAAAGTTTGAGCTGATTCCGATCAATATTGGATTTTTTACGAATTTTTTAAGTTGCTCAAAAATTGGGCCAAAGTCCCTGTACTATAGTACAGGGATTTTAGCCAAATTTCGTCAAAAATGAAAAGGAGAGAATTCTCCATTTTAGTAATTTTTTCTGATGCATATACATGCTCTTATGTTGTTTTGAAAGTTTGAGCTGATTTCGATCAAAATTGGATTTTTTACGAATTTTTAATGAATTTTAAAAGTGTTAAAAATTTTGTCACATGGTAATAGATGGTGATTCCAGCTAATTACTGTATTTTAATTGCACTGTACATACATGTAGCTATATTCTAGCTATCCTTGGTTATTATAGGCCTCTACTATGGATGGAGTACTAGAAATAAAAAATGAACATTTTTGGACTGTAACGTTTGGGAGCTATGTATGCCCATCTATTCTAATTAATGCCCCTATTGATATTTGCCTGATTATTATAGGTTGGATCCTTACAGGTTCGTGTTAGAAGGGATGCTGATGAACAGGTTAATTAAACTGAATAAATGACATACTTTCCTTATGCTATACTATTTTTTAAAATTGAGTTTCCTTTTTCTAGGAAGTTTTGAAGAAAGTCACATCATGCTTGTCCAGTCAACTCAATGACTTAACTATACAAGTTGTTAAGGATGACTGGAACATTCCACTCTCACTCTCTCGTCCATCACCGACTCCATCGAGAACTGCTAATGTGCATGGATCAAGCCAACAGCAAGGAGGATACGTCTCTTGATGAGAAAATTATTATTTAAAAGATTGGGGGGAAAATGATAACTCAAACCATCCATCAGGTTTATTCTAAACAAGCATACTTTTAAAAAAATTGGTACAGACTACAGAGCGGTTGCATTTTTTCTGTTACATATCCAATAGTTCATCAAGTGCAGTGTCTAGTTCAGTATTTTGGTGTACTGTTACATTCTTCTCTTTTACTGCAATTTTATCCTTTGCCGATTCTTTTGTTAGCAATGAGCCTGTGTCTCTTTGCAGTAAATCATTTAGTTCAGTATCCAGTACTGATCTCTCCTCTGGTATCCCACTAGAAGCAGGGAGTGATGATGGTTGCTTGTTTAGTTTGATGATTTCTGGTTGATTTGGATGAGAGTGAGCTGGAGGATGAGTAGAAGGAGCAGGTGACATTATTTCATTCTCATGATTTGGTCTTCCTTTTTCGTAAAGCTCCACTAGCTCTTTTGGAATGAAAAGTTTTCTGTGTAGAGGTAGTGATGCCAGGCATGATACAAGACCTGAGAGATTAATTGAGGGTGCATAGCTCTCCGTCTGGCTCTGCAGCAAAATTAATAATAATCAACAAGACGTTCAATTACTTGTGAGTCTGATGTGTCTTCTTCTTGCATGACAGGGAGAGATTGGTGTGATGGAAGACGTGAAGACAGTAATTGAGATAATCGTCCTTCCAATTCCTCCATAGCTACATCTGATGGAAAATGAAAACAATGCAATAATAATAAAAAAGATACCACTGCTTTCAGTAGGCATATCATACAAATCTTGTACTGCAACAGGCTGAGGCTCAAGTTCTTTTGGTTCTTTCTGTTTTGGTTGAGAAATAACAATTCTTTCAATATCTTTTGACTCAGTCTCATCTTCAAAGGCTACTTCACTCTTGCTATGACTTGATCCCCCAGATGCTTGATGCTTATGGTCATACTTTTTCCGCTTCATTTGAGCATTTCTCTTCTTCTGTCTTTGGGATGAAGACGCCATATTATAAAAAGGGCGTGGCTATGATTAATCCACACCCACTTCACGCAAACAAGATGGAGAGGGTTTTCTTATTATTTTCTTTGCTGTTTCTTGCTGTCCAGAGCTACGAGCTAGTAGGACAGCTATCTGACAAGGTAGAGGCTGGAGAGGGAAAGTATTATACTGTAAATCCTAGCCCCATTACCCTCATTTGTCTTGTCTCTGATGAAGGCGATGCTGACATGTACGTCGACTACTCTTCCACTACCACCAGACCAGACTACCTCACTCATAGGCACTCTGCAGCAACCTCTGGCATTGATGTAGTAACTGTCCTAAGGAGTGATATGAGTGCAGGAAGTGATGTTATATCTGTTGGTATATATGGCTACATTACTCACGTGAATTCCTCCTTTAGAATGTATGTGATTGTACCCAGTTCCTCTGACGTGTTGGACCATCAGATATGGGAAATGGATCACGAATCAAATACAACTAAACTCGTGATCGACGTCGATCCGTTGTGGATTGCAAATGATCCGAAATTACACAGACTACTTGAGTCTGTCTTGGCTCGGGGTTATTTTCAGAGTGATGAGGCTAGTAGTTGGATTATCATTAAAGACTGGATAGTGTGGCTATTAGTGAATTTCCTTCATTTAGTGGTAGAGGTACTTTTATGAGTCTCTAGATCCTGTGGCACAAAATTTTATTTAAAAACAATTCAATTTATTTAAATGATTAATTTATGTTGATTTTAATAATTAAAGACAAAAATGACATTATCTACATCTATTTCTAATATAAAAAAGTACTGTTTCAGCACACAATTGAAGGGGGATCAATTCTTTAAGGGGAGAGTTAATCTTGTTGAAATTTTGTTGGGTAGTACATAACTTTATCACCACATTCCTCATTTCGCCCGTATCCAATTCCTTCGGGGCAGTCAGCTGGAGTCAAATCTGTGCCACTAAAACACAGCATGAGCTCTATCAATACTTGCTGGCCCTGATCCTAAAAACAAAAAGCATGCACTTCAATTAAGGATTTATAGTCATACCTTGCTCCTGTCACAAAAAATTTGTGGAGTGACATTAATCTCATCACGAATTGCGTCGATTATTTCAGTGCCCTAAATCAAATCATTATTCAAAATTAGATCTATATTATACACTGGGTAATTAAAATATTCTTGCCTTATATGGATTCCCTGGTGTGATGCCATTCTTGTCAAGTATTTCTTTAACGTCATGCTTATGGTACAACTCAAGAGTCTGACTGAAATATGCATTTGTTGGGTTGTCTTTTGATGTAAGTGTGTTTGCAACACAATTGCCATGCTTGCACCATTCATGTGACCTGTTGTGTGTGAAAATTGAATTGTGTGCTTTAATAGATCCTCACCAGAAGCCTTTATCTTTTCTCTTAGTCAGAGACATCCACAAGGTCTTCATTTCGGAGTGCACATCCTGTTTAAACTGAGGAGTGATTAATTTCACATTTTAAGACAAACTTCTGATATATTGTTGAGATCAAGTGGGCCCAATGTTGTACAGCAGTTTTTGCTTTCTCCATTTTGAGACAACCTTGCTCTATAATCAAAGTGCAATACAATATGTGAGAGGCTTACCACAGTCCGTGGATAGTCCAAGCTGGTGCTCCTTGTGTTTTATTACTTATGAATTTTTTTGGATTTGCATAGTTTAATCCTTGTGGCTGTTCAAGGACTAGGCTATAAATATTGTCTCCTTGATCTTGATAGCTCATCATCCTGTGATTGGTATATGCACTGTTAACTGTATGTCATTATAACCTCAGCCTACCTTGTTTCATTGGAGCTCTTGCAAGCATGGTGACATGAATGAGATCTAATGGAAGTCACAAAGCTGGCCAGGAGCACAATCATGACAAACACTGCCATAGTTGATTCTTTGCCGATGCTCTCGATAAACTTGGAGATTATAAAACTAATGTACAAAACAAGGCTTATAAAAGCATTGAAAAGTATTATGAATGTTTTTATAGCATAAAGCTTTCAGTTTTAACATGCTATTCACAACAGTTCATTAGGGAATTTCATAATGGACTTTATGTGATTCGTCACAGGTGTTGTTCTCCTTTGCAGACATATTTCCACATGAAATCGGCATCAGTTGTTTGTCAAAGCAAACCGCAATCTGGTAAATGATCTGATACTGCATCTAAAAATTTATAAGAATAGAGATTATACATAATGTGATATTGTATACTTCAGTTGTTTTGTTGCACTGGAAAAATGCTGTAACATTGATTGAACTGAGAAATGCTTGATGGAAATCATGAATCTATATTCTCACAAATGAAAACAATAAGGTATCATTTATTATGCACAACGTACATCATATTCTACAGTAGAAGATGGGACAATCCCACTATTCTTAAGGATAGTCTCATAGTTATACTTCTCATACATGTCCAGCACGGTTTTGAAATATTTGTATTGCGTATTTAACAAATTGACCGATGAAGAGCATGTGCCATGTTTACACCACTCATGACTCCTATCTCGTTATAGTTTGTTATCTTTCACCTTCAAGGCTTACCAAAAGCTAATTGAATCTTTGATAAATCCTGGCCAATATCTCTCCATGTCCAATAATATTGACTATAGAAGGAGTGACAATCATATACACCGAACCTGATAAATATATGTTACATTAGCACCTACTGATAATGAAGATATGTCAAAAGGCTTTGGCTCACAATACTCTGGATATCGGTTTGAGGGATTTGATGGCCTATTGACTTGCATTTGAAAATTAATATGTAAACGTGAATTAAAACTGACCACAATCCGTGAATGGTCCATAGTTTAGTGTTTTCGTTATATTCCTTATTGCATTGAGTGAACTGCATGTACATAAAATTTATTAATAATATTTTTATTTGAACTACTTACCAGACAAATGGCTGCTGGAGCTTGCTGAACAAACATGAAATATTCAAAAGAGGGTGAAGTTTGACTGTACACACACACACACACACACATATATAGGAAATTAGAATAGAATCAGTGACATACTTGATATCAATTTCACACAGATAAGGAGACCAAATACCCTCAACTGAAACATAGTAAAAAAGAACAAATGCAATGAAGACAAGTCCCAAGTGCTTCATGATGTGAATTTGCTTTCATAATACTTTCAATTATTAACTATAACTATAATATTATAACTATAAACTGAAACTAAATATAATTGATTAATGATGGCATAGTTCAAAGAGTCAGTGATAAGTCAATAGTATATTATACTATTTTGAGAGCAATGAATGTGCAATGGAGTCAATGTTATTAGGCATTTGAAGTATGTACTTCTTGGTTTGATACTTCATGTTAATAATAATGTCCATGTCAACAGTTGAGGGGTCAATGTCATCAGAGAGAGGAGGGGAGAGGCGATGGTATGTAGAGCCAATACTCTCACACCAAGCTTTAGCACGCAAGGCTTGGTGTCCATTTGACTGCGTTATCTCGGAAACAAACAAGTTGTAGAGGCTTGAAACGCTCTTAATGATATCAGGTATGCTTTTAAGAAAATCAATGTTTAGTCCAGAGAAGAAGACATCAACAACGTCAACTGGCGTTTCTGGCGTGATTCCAGTTCCCACAGAGAGTACAAAGTCAATTTTTACGTTGCTATTCTCTCTCTTTCCTTGCTCAAAAATTTCTACCATAGCATCTGCAGTAGGATTATTTGCAATGAGTCCACCATCAAGAAATTGCCTCTCAAATGCAGGAAAGTACTTTGGAGCAGCACTTGTTATTCGACCTGCTTCCCATACCTTCCTCTCATTTGGTCCCTTCTGATCGTCACGTGGTTCCCCGTAATTAGTGATGAGGTGAAGTTTCCATGGGTCTTTGTTTGCTAGAGTCGAAGTGATGATAATGCGTTGATCTTTATCCAAATCTGACATTACTGTATCTTCACCAACAGCATCTTGCAGATACTGCTTTATTCTATCGCTTCTTTCATCTAAGGGCCTGTCAAAGACATCTGTGACAATCTTGTAAACAAGTGCCATCCCACCCTCAATAGTAGCATCAGTATAGCCCAGGACGAGGGAGCAGATACCACCAGAGCTCGTGCCTGCAATGTAATCGAAATATGACTGTATTGGTTTACAAGACGGCTGGAGTTGCATCATCCTCTTTTCGATTGCCCTCAACATTAGCAAAGTATTAAAGGATCGTATTCCACCTCCATCCATACTGAGAAGGTATACTCCTTGTGTTTTGCGATGGGTTATTTGATGAGTACTGTGTTCTATGAAATACTGCTCAGTCTCTTTGTGAAGACGCATCATGTCTTTGAGCTCATCAATAATGATTTTGGTATTATGATCTTTATCTGGGAGCTCTGTCATTGCAATATCAAGTGGCGTTTGATTGTGGGCATTCTTGACCATTGGATTAGCATCAAACACTAATAATAGTTTAACTAGCTGGACGTGACTTGAAATGACAGCAAGATGAAGCGACGTGTTCCCTGTGGACTTGTGATGACAATTAGGACTGGCCCCAGCAAAAAGAAGATACAAGCTACTTTTAATGTAGCCTTTCTCAACCGACATCATTAGTGTGGTCATGCCATTCTCGTTAAACATATCAACGTGGCCATCATTAATGGCTGGAATGTTCTCTTTTGTCTCCTGCTTCTTAAGGCCCCTACGTGCTGACAAGTTTTGTCTCTCTTTCATGTCTTGCCATATTCTTGCTGAATGTTCATCATCAGCAAGTTTTTGGGACTGCATATGTTCTGGAACTGCAAAAGCAAGAGGAGCGGTTGAGGATTGAATTAGTGTGCTTAATGCAGCTTTTTTGGGCGAGTGCGACAATCCCAAAGACTTTTCCATGGTTTTTGCAATGCTGTCCAGCCACTTCATGCCTTCAGTTGAAACTGAGAGTGAAGCTGATTTGAGAGGCGTCAGACCAAAATTGTTTTGCTTATTTAGGTCGCCTCCTTTTTTAACGAGTATCTCAACTTTTGCACGGTCCTCTCTATAGCATACTATGTGAAGGAGGGCTTGCATGACTTTAGACCACTCTGGGTGCGAGTCCGGTTTCTTTTCCATGAGCTCAACAAGCTCAATGCTCAAGTGACATGGATCACGAGGGCGAGGAAGTACAGCCAAATGTACAAGGGGCTCAGTTAGAACAACTGAGCCATCTTGTAATAGAGGAGACAAGGTTTTTTGCAATTCTTCAAAAGCCTCTTGTGCTTTTGACTCCGTTGAAGACTCATAAACGACAAATGTTATTTCTTCACCGTTAGGCTTCACTTGGTGGAGAACGACTTGGTAATCTGGATGGTGGGCAAAAAGCCTAGCTAGGCTTCCTTTCCTTTTTTCACCTCTCTCGCGTTGAAAGAGTGCCAAATAACCGCGGTGAATATCAGAGTAGACGCCATTGGACCTCACCTCAGCAGCACTTGAAGGGAAGTGAATCTTCCTGGATGAAGATAGTGTCGATAAAGAATTCAATTCTATCTCTTTGACTAGATAGGCCATAGAACAAAGTGTCAATGAATCTTTTTTTCACAGTAGCAGATCCACACCGAGGTCAGTCAGTATAAACTGATCACGAGCCAGTATTCTATAATGTATGTATAGATAATTGCACCACAAATGGTTGTGTAAACTATCGACAATGTACTGTAAACAAAGATAGTGCCGTGTTGTAAATTTACTATAAATCTATCTTGTAGCTGAAACTACAGGAAATAAATAGAGATGAACTTTAAGCTGTACATTATATAGATTTACGACTGATATTTAATCAATTGTTAAAAATTTTATTAAAAATATCTATATTTAAGAGCACTGTATAACAATGAAGACCACTTCAATTTATTTTTAAAATTCTATTAGCATCCACAAAGATGATAAGCCTATAAAATACCAGATGATGCAATAACTGCAATGCAATAGTAAATTACCCGATATTATGAGTGGCAGTACAGTTCCAGTTGATATTGGTGCAGTCTTGTACACAAATACTTCACTTGTGAAATGATAAAGTGCAAGTAGGAAGGAAAACCAAGTAGCAAAATATAAACTGAAGTGACAAAATGTAAACACTAACAAAGACTTGCACCTACTTACTTTGAATTAGGAGAAGAAAAGGCAAAAGCTATCCGGACAGAAGCTGCTAAGAGAGTCCAAATTCCAAACAATCTTCCTGCTAATTGGGAAGCTTTTGGAGAATGAAATTGCTAAGCCTAAGGCAATCATTTTTATATAAAAAAGCTTACCTTGATTACTTTCTAATGTGTACACTCTATCTCGTGGAAAAGTATTCTTTAGGAGACATTGCACAGAGTTAGCTAAAGCAGTTGCACCTACCAGACCTACCCAGCACCTCAGATAGAAAGACATATTGATCACACCATTGAAATGAGCCACACCTTTCCCTGAAAATTTTTACATGTGAGTGAGGCATTGTGATTGGTAGGCTTTTGCGCATGATCAGCTAGTTCTGGCGCGAAATTGTTAATTAAAATCATAATAAAATGGCGGCGATGGTGGAGGAAGCTCGAGATCTCGTCTCCAATATCCTGAGGTCGTGCACAAACTCTGAAGGTCTCATGCTTGAAGAGAGCATTCAAAGAGTCCTAAAGAGAAACAATGAGCTCAAGATGGAAGTTTCAGGCTTTCTCAAGAAATATTACCACGAGTTCCTTCCAATGGCGGACTCCAGTCTCTCTCTAGAGAACAGAGCGAGGGACATTATGACAGACACCCAGAGACTCACCAGCCTAATAGAGGACAACCTCAACAGCCAGCGCCTCTCTGATTCCGCTGGTAAAAGGCAAGAAGGCGAGGCCCGTTTAAAAGAAATAACAGTAACAATAAGCTTTGTGGAAAGCCTATTAGAAGTGCACAAAAGACTAATCAAAGCAAGAGAAGAGCTTAAAAACAGCAACTACCTCAGAGCTGCCGAACTAACGGAAGCTGTGACCGAAATTATGATTGAGATTCGTGGGCTGGGCTGTGAAGCTATAGTCTATCGCTCTTTAAAGGAAGAGCTCGACTTGTTGAAGTCAGACATCAAGTTCTCATTATACGAGGAATGGAACAAGATGGTGACGTGGACCACTCTCTCTTCCAACAATCAAAGCACAGACTTGGCTATCCTCTCGTCTCATACAGTTCCTGCTGAGTCTTGTGAAGATTTTGAAAATGTTGTTTTGTCGCTTTTTACCATTTTGGAAGAGGAAGAGTGGAAAGCAAGAGTTAAGACGTATTCTCAAAAGCTTCTGGAGAACATCGTGAAGCCATTGCTGACCAATGGTGAGCATAGGCTTGAGGTTCAGTCAGAAAGAGAGGATAAAATCGAAATGATGATAATGACATCTCCACCAGTTAGCATTGAAGACAAGCTATGCAGCGTAATAACAATATTGACTACTGTAACAAAGATGATACCTTTAGCTCATCGACCCGATTGGTCGTCTAAGCTTGGAAAAGAAATTGAGCCTGAGCTTTACTTATTGGTTCATTCACTGCTCTCACAATCGTCGCCAAAGACAGCAGAAGAACGCACGAGTTACTCGATGATATCCGAGACTGTCCTCCAATTGGAAGAGTCTTTTGTGGAACTGGGTCTGGTCGTGTCTGAGTACACCAGTTTAAGCGATTACACTAAAAATGTCGATACTCACATCGTCAATCAGCAATGTCAAGATATACTTGACCACGCCCGTTTGATATTGACACGCCCACTTTACGAGACGACTGCTGTAGGTGGGGCAGACACGACAGAGTTGCTCAAGAAATTCAAGTTTAGGGCAGAGCCACAACAGAAGGAATTGGAACAGCATCAAGTAGAAGCAGACATTTCTTCTTTTCCTTTTTCTTTTTTGTTCCCATGTTGTCTCATTAGCTCCTCAACTAAGGACCTCATTGCACTACTTTACGATACTCTCTCAAAATGTGAGTCAACTTCGGCTGCTACAGCAAGTCAGATGTACATTACCAGTAGAGACATGGTTGATCTCTTCATCGCTCTCTCTCAATCTTATTGTTTGACTGGCGAGAGTGATCCTCTTGTCTCCGTACTGCAACATAATAACTACATGTACGTCTCCCACCATCTCTTAATCATAGGACGACACCAGTTTAGTAGTGGTCTGCCTGGGAAGGCTCCTATGACTTTTATTGATTTCGTGCCTCAGCTCCGTAGACTTGCAGAGAGCTGTTTCTTGGCAGAAATGGGCTCTCAGACGAGCGTTATAGAATCTTTTCTCAAATCGTCTCCGTCGTTTAACGATATTGGATCGGACCCGGATAAGCAAGAGTCTCTCACTCTTGCTGTCTGTCAGTCCTTGAATCACATTGCTAGTCTCTCAAAGACATTCAGTAACGCATTACCAGATGAGCTCCACAAGAGATGCAAGTATGGCCTCCTCAATCTTCTGGTCTCTGAGTTGATTGAGCGTACTTTGTCGGTTGAAGATTTCTCAGTTGATGATTCAAACTTTCTCTACACTTTCCTTTCATCTAATGTGCTGGAGAAGTGGTCTGTTGATCACAGAGGGAGGGACGAGACTGAAGAGGCTGTTGCTGATTTGTGTACGTCTTGGGAGAAACTAAAGGAGCTGGTGTTTGTTTTAAAGGCAGAGCAAGAGGACATTGTGTCCAGATGGGGGAAAGGAGAAGGCCCTCTTTCCAAGCATATGAGTGTGCCTGAGGTCAAACATTTAATCAGAGCATCATTTAAAAACACTTCAAGGAGAGCAGAGACACTAGCTAAAATAACATAATTAAGATAGACTGTTGATAATTAATTTGAAATAAATCCATATTGATTAATGAAATATTGATTATAAAAAAGAGGCGTGGCTGAATTGTAGTTTTTGACGCAACTGCATATTTTTCGTATACTATCCGTATACTAACTCAATCATCAACATTGAGGGACAGCATGAATGAGGTACTGTTTCTCTTGTTCCTCCTCTGTGCAGTGAGAGCTACTGCTCCCGAGGAGTGTAGCCATTGGAACACGACTACTCATTCCCCTCTGGACTGTATCACTTCATCCCGCGTAGAATCAGGTACTAAGAGCTTCACTGCTGAGTTATATATATGTCAATTTTCTTTTTCTTAGAATTCATAATCACTTTCAAAGGCTATTACAAGGAAGAGGCCAGGGAGGGTTTCATATCTGCAGCCCTCAGGACCAACTCCTGTTCCTCCTCGTGGCATACAATCCTTCGCTCTAATCCCAGTCAACATTTCCCTTCAGATTTCTCTGTCATTCATTTATCTGAAGAGGGCAACGTGACACAATGCCTCTCCTCCCTCTCTCGTCATCCTCTTGTAAAACTAGTCACACCTCATAGGAAGTTCTCGCGGTCTCTCTCGTGTGCCGAGGGGAAGGGGGAGGGGCTTAGAGGAGGCGTGAGAAGACGTGGTGTGCTAGGAGAGAGTGTGAGAGATGACCAGAAGTGGCTGGTCGGGCGGAGACTCTTGAGAGCAATACCTCGTCAAATCACGTCCGCACTACATGCTAATGTACTATGGACATTGGGACACACAGGGAAAAACATAAAAGTAATTATTATTTTTGATTTTACTGTAATGTAAATATATGATTGTGTGTACTACTGATGAAATGTTAATACTGTTGCATGTAGATATTTATTATACTCTTCATCATTACTTTTGACTCTCTCTCTCTTGATAGGTTGCCGTGTTTGATACCGGATTGGCCGGTAACCATCCTCACTTCCGTCACATCAGTGACCGGACTGACTGGACAGACGAGAAGACAATGGAGGATCATCTTGGACACGGTACATTTGTCGCTGGTGTCATAGCCAGCTCTTCAGAGTGTCTGGGGTTTGCGCCTGACTCTGAACTGTTCATATTCCGTGTATTTACAAATAACCAGGTTTGTACTGACACTGGTGACTAGCTAGCTGATTGTTTTACATGCAATCATTACAATGCACATGTAACATCAAAATATCATTTTATATAAAACTTGATATGTCCACTTAGCTTTGATACATGACATGTACTGTACATCTTTTAGATTACTGTAGTACAGAGCTCATATTAATGAGCCCTTCCAAAAATTTTGTCAATTTGTGTGACATAGTGACATAGAACACTACATGTACATGCCTATATGGACAAAGGGACTGTTGCTTTTATAGTCAACTAATTGTAAAAAGGTATCATGGGTTGCACCAAATGTGGTTAACATTCCTGTACTTGTATAAACTGTGAACAATACAGCTGCTTGAGCAACTTGAACATCTTTCATAGTATCTTTTATTATAAGCTTGTTTATAGACATAATAGCATATGCTTTATTGGCTTCCAATAGATTTCTGTTGAATATGTGAGTTGTGTTCACTAAATAATGTACCTCCTCTCTTTCTCTCTTCTCTCTTTTTCTTCTCTCAAAGGTATCCTATACCAGCTGGTTTCTTGATGCATTTAACTATGCTATACTCAAGCGTATTGATGTCCTTAACCTCAGCATTGGTGGGCCTGACTTCCTTGATCAACCTTTCATTGAGAAAGTAATTATTATTATCAATTATTATTATTTATTTATTATTATTATTATTAATTTTTGTAGGTATGGGAATTAACTAGTAATGGTGTCATAATGATATCTGCTATTGGAAATGACGGGCCATTGTACGGGTAAGTAAATCAAGAGTGTAGAATTCTTTCCTTACCATTTTCGATTGGCCAAATTTTGAAAATTTTTAAAAAGCCCAGAATCAGCTCAAACTTTCCACTCAATATAAGAATGTGTACATGCACATGTATCATAAAAATTGAGATTTCTCTCCTTGTAAAGTTGTTATAATTGCATTCCTTTCAGTACTCTTAACAATCCAGCTGATATGATGGATGTGATTGGCGTCGGTGGGATTGACTATGAAGATCGTCTTGCTCCTTTCTCTTCCCGTGGCATGACAACATGGGTAAGATACACACACACTCCACCTCAAACCACACCCTAACCTCCACCCCATACTAGGAGCTGCCTCAAGGCTACGGTCGTGTGAAACCGGACATCATCACCTACAGCAGCGGTGTCCGTGGTTCGGCCCTTCACTCCGGCTGCCGGTCACTCAGCGGAACCAGTGTTGCTTCACCGGTTGTCACAGGTGCTGTTGCTCTTCTAGCGAGTGCTGTGGATAAATCAAAGGTCAACCCAGCGAGTATGAAGCAGTCCCTAATGGCCACGGCTCAGCGGATACCAGGAGCTAATATGTTTGAGCAAGGGATGGGGAAGCTTGATTTAGTGAGGGCGTATCACGAGTTGAGTCAGTATACTCCTCGTGTTTCGCTCGTCCCTTCGTACGTTGATCTCTCGGAGTGTCCATATTTCTGGCCGTATTGCACCCAGCCTCTTTATTATGGTGGGATGCCTATTGTCATTAATGTAAGTGAGTAGTAATAAGTGCATTTGTTGTAATTATATTGTTAAATTATTAATTGTTGTAATAATACATGTATATTATAGTGTATTATTAAGTTTTCATGATCTTATTAGGTGACTATACTCAATGGTATGGGAGTCACTGGATACATTTTAAACAAGCCAATATGGCAGCCTTACATCAGTGCCAATGGGAAACTCATTGAAGTCTCTCTCTCTTACTCTCAGATCATATGGCCTTGGTCTGGTTGGCTCGCCATTAGTGTAAGTATTTCTGAATTAGGCGCTAAATTCACCGGAGAAGCAGCTGGTCAGATAACACTCACTATATCTACACCAACAGTGAGTTTTGGAACAATAATTTATTTATTTATTTATTTACTTTATTGTTTTGTTGTTATGGTTTTGTGGTTTGGCAACATTGTCAAATTCCTCCACTCTCTCTCTCTCTCTCCCTCCCTCCCCAGAATTCACTATCTAAAGAGTCTCATATATCAACGGTTCATCTTCCCATTAGAGTCCCAATAATACCCACTCCTCCTCGCCAGTTGAGACTCCTTTGGGACCAGTTCCACAACCTGAGGTATCCCCCCGGGTACTTCCCACGGGATAATCTCCACATGAAGTCCGACCCTCTTGATTGGAACGCTGACCACATTCACACTAACTTTAAAGACATGTACACCTACTTGAGGTCTCAGGGATACTTCATTGAAATTATTGGTATAAGAAATAAAACAACAAAGAAATACTATTTAATTGTTTGTTTATTTTTTAGGTTCTCCGCTGACTTGTTTTGATGCAACTAAATACAGTGAGTCAAATCTTACTTGTGCTCATACTATACGTATAGCTTTAATACATACATGTAACACATGGTTTAATAATGGCCTGTGTGTGTGTGTAGGTATATTGCTCATTGTTGATAATGAAGAGGAGTTCTTTCCAGCTGAAATAAAGAAACTAGCCAAAGATGTTTTAGATCACGGACTGTCCATTCTTGTATTTGCTGGTAAGGATTATTGTGTAGTTTACTGATAATTTACTGCACGGTATACTGATTTTTAGATTGGTATAACGTGGATGTGATGCAAAAGTTAAAGTTTTACGATGAGAACACTAGGCAATGGTGGATGCCTGATACAGGTGGAGCAAATATCCCAGCATTGAATAACTTGCTATCAACATGGGGAATAGCATTAAGGTATGATCAAATAATTGGCTCTTAAAATCACCCACAATTTTTATTATATTTGTACATATTGATGTCCTTATGCTGTACAGAAAATTTAAGCTGATTCCGGCTTCAATTTTTAAAGTTATGGCCATTTTAAGAAAATACCAAAATTCTGAAAAATACCCAAGGCTATAGCCCATGGTTTTTTTTCAAAAAATGGCTCCAAAATCACCCCAAATTTTTATTACATTTTCTTATGTATATTGATGTCCTTATGCTATGTAGAAAGTTTGAGGTGTTTCCAACTAATAATTTTTGAGTTATGACCATTTGTTCATTTTCAAGGCTGCAAAATTTTGTAGCTGCCATTTTTGAACTGAGTTACTAAATGCTACCACACTACTAATAGTACGAGTACATGACATTTGATCAAATATATGGCTATTGTAGTAGTTCATTGTTCCTTTTCCTTCTCTCTCAGCGATCAAGTGATGGAGGGTGATTTTGAATTGACTGATTCTACTTCTCTTCTCTCTTACACTGTCACTTATGGTAGTGGGACAACAATAGCTTCCTTCCCCATTAATAACAGCTACCTTTACTTTGCTGATCTGAAAGATCAAAGTAAGAGAGATACACATCTACATGTAACTGATAGTCTATTTTATCCTGCACTCTCTCTCCTCTCTCTCTCCTGATAGAGATTGAAGTTGTAACTGGGGCTAGTTCCCATCACAGGTCTGTCCCAATACTAGGCATTCATCAGACTCTTAATGTCACTGCTAGTAAACCAGCACTCGTGAACGGTCAGGTACCAACTGATCCTATAGCATCAGGTCGTGTCGCTGTCTATGGTGACTCAAACTGTATCGATTCTGCTCACCTCCAATCTGGTTAGCTTTGTACTCGTGACTTTATTATGTATCTTCTTATTCTTCTACACAAAATGTTCTTACACATGTACATTGTTGTTTTTCAATATGAAGGTGATGGTTTCTCTCTATCTATCTATCTCTAGATTGTTTTAAGTTGTTGGATGAGTTAATATCATATTGTGTTAGTTCAGTTGTTCCCACATTCATGGCACCAGCTGTTCAATTAGCTCCTCCCTCCCACCTCCCTGAGCGAATGGAAGGTAGGTACATGTACATGTACATCCCTCGGCACCTGATAATCCTTTACAAAGAGAACACGATTAAATTAATAATCTTCTCTTTGTAGGTAACCGGTTGCACCAGTTCTCAAAGGTTCTTGATTCTTCTGATCCTCATGAGTACCACCCCCTACCCTCCTGCCCCCACTGGGTTTGGGCTATGCCACGCCCACTTAATGCAAGCTCTGATTTCATCAAACAAATGCTTGATAGCAAAGTAAGTCTTGAAACGGTAAAATTTAAAATCACTTACAATCTTTATTCATTTCGTATATGCATTATACATGCACATGTACATGTAATTAACGGCTTGTTTTTCATACCTACAGGCAAGTGATGCTGGGAGGGGTCTACTAACATTAGGCCACACCCCCGACGAACATGATGACATGATTATCGTCAACCCGTGGTACATACCTTGGTTCCTACTGGTACCTCTTCTTCTCGGCTACTGGTTCTGTTGTAGGAAGAGAACTAGGAGCAGACGCTCTGTTTTTCTATCAAAATTACCTGTTGTATAGTAGTAGACATTGATTTTTTATGTTTCTCATCTTGACGACCATTATCTTGGCAAGATGGTCGGCGAGGCTCGATCTCAATTGCCATTTCAGTTCTCAAATAAATTATTATTTTAAATTATTTATACAAGAATAAGTAAAACAATAATAATACTAAAAGAAACAAACCGTCAAATGTCATAAAAACGCAATAAATTGATTTATAACTCATTACCAGTGAGTTGAGCAGCGTACGTGTACATAATGGTGACTGTCATTAAACCTAGTCTATTCTTAATGTCATTGTGGGTGCTATCATCTCATGAAGCACAAGGTACAAATACTAACACTATTACAGTGTATAAAATTAACTATTCATTTAGGGAGTGGAAAAAAGCTTTCTTGGAGCCACTGTTGTAAGGAAATAGCAAAAAGTGTTTTATTTGATTGTTTTTGTGTCTAGCAAATCCTGGGACTGTTGCTTTAAATTATATACTCTTCAAGCCTTTTCCATTGAAGATTGGACAGAGGTTTCAATACATAGCAAACCTTTCAACAAGTAAATAAAATACAGAAAAAAATTATTATTTTAAACTGTATGTATGTATATAGGTGATACTATAGTGGATGGTACTTTTCATGTTAAATTATGGTACCAACTAAATATAGCAAAACAAGAGAGCATCAACATAACATTCATTGATGAAAGGATCAACTTGTGTGATCAGTGGGTTGCCGATAGTGGCCATCTGTGCCCTGTCAAGCCAGGGAACTACATCATGACTAGTGCTGAAACCATCCCTACACTCTTTAAACCAGTAAACTAGATCATTTATATTGGATTGTTACCAAAAATTAATCTTTGTAGGGAAACTATTTTGGCAAAGCTGAAGCGTTTGATGAAGCTGGAAAAATCTTAATTTGTGCAAGGATAAAATTCTCCCTTTGACTGAGAATGAACACAAACACACACACACACAATTGCATACACTGTATTGTGTGTACATTACTTGTTTCCATTAGATCAGTTTTTTATTTGTTTCGCTTGCATAAACTAAAAATTGTTATTTTTTCAGTGTCCAACGATTTACATTAGAAATATGCATCTCAGTAAAACCAAATAAACACACACAAAAATTATATAAACATAACCATAATGATGATGATAAACTCATTAAAAATTATCAGAAATGAAAAATGTAATTTGATTATCTATTGCATGCTGAATTCATATAATTTTGCTCAGACAACCTGTACCCTAGAAGTTCTACTAGCATGTATTTGAGATTTAATACTACTACCCCATCTTCTATAGCAAGCCTTGTAGACCTCATCAACAATAAGGACGGATGAGCAGAGACAAAGGAGTAACATAATATCTGAAAAGGAGAGGGACTCTGTTTGAAATATCGACTGCAATGGACCAAAATAGATCACTAAAAGTTGACAGAGGAGACAGCCTCCAATAGAGTAAGAGAGTGCCCTGTTTGAGAACAGTCCAAGTGATACGACTGATTTTGTCTACAATGTTACAATAGTAATAGATTATAATGATCCTGCCTATTGGAGCTCACCATTGATCTGCAGCTAAGAGCATTGAACATGTCAAACAATACAAAACAAGTGAAAGTCATTGTTGTATCACGAGGAGTAACAATCTCGTCTTGAAACTGGAAAAAATTAAGCAAAAAGGGCCAGATACCAATTTTAATAATAATAATGATACAATTATATCAAATTACAAGAAGGAACATACTTCTCTCCAGAATATCCAGAATGTTCCCAACAGTATGATAACAGCTGAGATTAAAACTCTTGCCAGCAACGAGAAAGATATCATTTGATCAGAGGCTTTCCTCGGAGGCTGTTTCATAACATCTCTATCAACTGGCTCAACGCCAAGACTGCATGGTATGATAGTGGCACATCATTTATCAAACAATTAGCAGTTTTATATGATCTATCCATACCTCTGTGCAGGGGGTCCATCCATTATTATGTTAATCCATAAGATCTGCATGGCATTCAGTGGATTCGGTAAACCAAATAAAGTGGATAGAGAAACGAGAGACAGAGCAGCAACACTCCTAAGCATTGATTGAATGGAAATGAAGGAATGCTAATATTGAGTCTTGTATGGAGGGTTGAGCTTACGTGCTTAATTGAAAGCGTACAAAGTTCCTAATGTTGTAATAAATCCCTTTCCCTTCCTCTACAGCAGACCTATCATTATTATTATTATTATTATTATTATTATTATTATTATTATTATAGTTAAAACTAATAAAAAAAGTACATGTATATACATGTCACTACATGAATGCCTTTTGCTTACAAAATAGTTGAGAAATTATCATCAGTTAAAATCATATCAGCTGCCTCTTTGCATACGTCAGTCCCGGCAGTTCCCATGGCAATGCCAATCTCCGCCCTCTTGAGAGCAACAGCATCATTAGTGCCATCACCAGTCATACCAACTATCCTGTTCTTATGCTGTAGGGCCTACACATAGCATGTGACTGTCAGGTGACCATCACAGATATGAGGTGAAACTTTCTACATCGTGTAAATAAAATAAATGGAGAAATATCTCCTAGCAAAATACTTTGTACTATAGTACAGAGACTTTGGCCCGATTTTTGAGCAACTTAAAAAATTCATAAAAAATTTAAATTTGATCGGAATTAGCTCAAACTTTCTACACAACATAAAAACATGTATATGTATTAGGAAAAATTATAAAAACAAAGAATTCTCTCCTTTTCATTTTTGGTGAAACTTGGTCAAAATCCCTGTACTATAGTACAGGGACTTTGGCCCAATTTTTGAGTAACTTAAAAAATTCGTAAAAAATTCAAATGTGATCGGAATTAGCCCAAACTTTCTACGCAACATAAAAACATGTATATGTATCAGGAAAATTATAAAAATGAAGAATTCTCTCCCAGTCATTTTTCATAAAATTTAGCAAAAATCCCTGTACTATAGTACAGGGACTTTGGCCCGATTTTTGAGCAACTTAAAAAATTCATAAAAAATTTAAAATGATCTCAAATTTAAAAAACAACATAAGAACATTTATAAAAGTGTTAAAAATTTTCTACTAGCCATTTTTGATGCACGTATACACATACACTTACTTTGACAATGGTGACTTTGTGTTTTGGCGTCACACGATAGAAAACACTCGTCCTATCAACTGAAGATGCCAGTTCCTCTGGAGAGGACCCCAACTGATCTAGCTCAGCTCCAGAGAGACTAAGAGATCCCGGAGTGTATATTCCTAGACTCTCAGCTATTTATAATGTAAGGGAAAAGTCGAATAATAATATTTGGTAAATAAAAGAATTCACTGACCAATCGATACAGCTGTCTCAAGTGCATCTCCAGTAATCATTTTAACCTCTACGCCCCCTCTCATTAATTCCGATACGGCCGAGGCCACACCCACTCTTGGTAAATCACATAAGCCCATGAGACCAATGAATCTCATTCCCATCAAACTCCGCCCTCTGGCAAAAGCAATAACTGAAAGAGAACCCATTAATTTTTAAAATTAAAATAAATTATAGTCGGACCTCTTAATCCCTGGTGGCCCATTTCTGCTGACACACCCTCAAAATGAGCTTTCTCTTTAGTCGTAAAGGGGGCATGGTTTTGCCCTATAACTGTACAGTGTCTAAGTACCACACTCAAGGCACCTTTCATAAACCACACCCCTTCATTATCCTAACAACAACAATAATAATAATAATAATAATAATAATAATAATAATAATAATTATTATTATTATTATTATTACGTTGTCAATCATAGGACATTTCCTTTGCACATGAACAGCCATCCATTTCTGTTCTGAACTGAAGGATCTCTCGTCCACACGATGAAACTCATCACGCAAATTAAATAAATTTAGCTACAAATTTTTTAAAAATTAAAGAGAGAAAGCAACAAAATATACTTTGCTTCCAAGCGAGAGGAGAGCAGTTTCTGTTGGTTGGCCTTTAAAAGTATTGTCTCTAAACTGGGCATTGTTACAGATACAGCCAATCTGTTGAATACAAAAAATAAAATAAATAAAATCAATTCTATTCCTCTACAATCCTCCTCTTCCCTCTTCTCTGCTTACTTCAATTGTCTCAAAGATGTCTTTATGAGCATCACACGTCACACTCTCTCCTTCACACACCACATCATCGTCCAGCACTTGAGCAGACCGACGCCTATCTAAAACCAACAAGAACAGGAACAGCAATAATAATATACATGTGACATGATACGCTAACCAGTGTATATTTGAGTAACCTCCATCTTGTTTTGAGTCAGAGTCCCAGTCTTGTCTGAACATATGACATCAACACAGCCTAAGAACATAAGAAATATGCACGAGCCACTGCTAACTCCATACATTATTAGCTACCAGAATAAGTCAATGCTATAATACTCTGGACATACCCAATGTCTCAACGACTGGTAGTTTCTTAACAATCGCATTCTTATTGGCCATCCTGATGACTCCAAGTGCTAGTGTGACTGTCACTACAATAGGCAGGCCCTCGGGGATAGCTGCAACAGCAAGACTGGACGATAAATAAAGAGTAGAACGTTTCTTGTTTGTTTATTCATTATATTTACCTAACTCCAATAGTGAAAATATTAAGAATGTTTCTCCCTTGAATCCAACCCACTAGTAGTATGCATCCTACAAAAGAGAGAGAGATATCATATATAATGGATGGGTACTTACCAATGATACACAATGAATAAAATGAAAGTTGCTTTCCTAGTGAATCCATGCTCTTCTGCAGCGGAGTCTTTGGTGCCTAAACATGCAAATAACAATAGATCACGTGACATCATCGCACCTCTTCCGATTGCATCATCTTAAACACCTGACCAAACTCAGAGTTCTCCCCCACGCTCACAACTACCCCCTGGAAAGGAGAAGTAGACAATTAAAACACGTACACGTACGTCTATACTTTGCTACCTTTCCATGTCCGGAACACACAAAGGTTCCCATGAAGGATATATTATTGAGTAGGAGTGAGTCCGGGTCCTCTATCACTTGGGACTGCTTTTGAAAGTGAGTCGTCTCTCCCGTGAAACTGCTCTCATCAATCTCAAGCTCAACACTCTAAGTCAATAATAATAATAATAATAATAATAATAATAATAATTAATGATTAATGTTTAGACTCCGCCTACTTCAATTAGTCTGATATCGGCAGGGACCCTGTCACCTACACTAATGTACACTATGTCTCCTGGTACAAGGTATCTCGCTAGCATCTCTTGCATAACTCCATTCCTTATGCTATTAAAACAAACAAACAATAAATTGTACTGAGATATGAGCTCAACAGATTTAGCTAACAACTGCTAAAATATATGAAAAAAATTCGACCAAAAGCATGGGCCACTTACCAGTTGCATTTTGGAGGTATAAGTTGTGTGAGAGCTTGGAGAGATTTCTCTGACCTGTACTCCTGTGGATAAAAGTAACAATAAATGGACTATATGAAACACAATCTATTATACTTCATATAGTGAGTTTATTGTACTTTTTATGTTTAAGTAATCAAACTCTGATTATAACAGCTAAACAATTGCTCCAAATATCATTACACTTCCTTTCCATCAAAGAAACAAAATTTTGAAAACAAATACATGATATGCATTAAAAAGGAAATTAAAGTGAGCGTATCATTATGATATAAGATTACGCGAGGGAAACTAGAGTTCATTATTTCAGTGATACAATCAGACAGTAAGTGATACATAATGATGATGAGAAGTATCATTAGTCTATTGCTAGTAAGTTTATTGAGTGCCCTATCATTAACTCGTGATGCTCAAAAAGGTAAGAGTGAGAATCTGCTGTATAAGTTCATTTCATTGTTATTATTATCATTATTACTAGAAGAAAATAAATTCAATGCCATTCACTGGAGTTACTGTTGTAAGTGAAGGACAGTATAGCTGCCACTGCTTCTCTCTCTCTTATCTTTAGCTAACTACACTGGTCGCTATTTTAAGATCAACTACATTGATACCACATACGTGTATAATACAAAATATAACAATACTGATGTCAAAATGAACATAGACATATGTGAGTCATAGACCCAGTGCCCACTATTCTATTCTCTACTACATACTTTTAATTATATTTATCATTTAGATGAAACTATAAGCTATGCTACAATACATTTTATCGTGAAGTACAATTTCCATGATACTTTCAATGTTACCCTCATTGACGAGTATTTCAACTTTTGTGATATGTGGGTTGATATAGTTAAAGAGCACTGCCCCATTAAACCAGGGAACTACAACATGAGTAAATCACTCAATCCTCCTCCAATGTTTCCAAAGGTAAAGCCAAAGCATATGAGGCACTTTTGCATAGTGCTCATGCAGCTTCTTGTCAGTAGATTGTCAAAGCCAAAAATCAGACTAAAGTCCCTGTACTATAGTACAGGGTCTTTGGCCAAATTTCACCAAAAATGACTAGGAGAGAATTCTCAATTTTTATAATTTTTACTGATACACATACATGTTCTTATGTTGTGTAGCAAGTTTAAGCGGATTCCAGTAAAAACTAGATTTTTTATGAATTTTTAAAGTTACTCCAAACACATACTGTACATTACATTGGAGTGATCATCAGCTCATGAAGCTCATGCTGTTTAGCTCACTTAGCATGCTTTGTGTGAAACTCTGATTGCAATAATAATTAAATGCTTTATTAAAATCTCTATAACTTAGTGATATTCTTCTTTTATCTACCATTCACTCTGTGCCGTTCTCTATTTCCTTTCAAAGGGACAATACTATGGTAAGATTGTTACATTCAATGAAAAGGGACAAGATTTTGCTTGCATCCTTCTGGACATGAAAGACACAAAGCAACAAGACTAGCTTTCAATAATAGTACTTGTGTATATTTGAGGCTAAATCACATTATCACAGTAATGTAGACCACAATACAGCTTGTAAATATTTTCATTAATTACTATTATTATTATTTGATTATTATGTAAATACAATTATTGTTACAAATAATAAAAAAATTGCACCAAGTGCTCACCTGTACAAATCCTACAGTGACTACAATAAGAATTGCCTAAGAATAACAAAAATGATGCGAGGGAGTAATTTTTGTCTCACCAGTACATCAGTACAAATACTTACCACTGTAATGCTAAGTGCATCATCAAATTCCCGTGTTATTAAACTAATGAGAGCCGATGCAAGAAGCAGTAGAATCATTGGATCTTTGAACTATACAAGTATTAAGATTATGTATTTAAATTATTTTACACCAGTCACGTGACAACTCACTTGTCCAATGTATTTTACTAGCAGGGGCTCCTCTTCGTGTATTTGCATCTCATTGAGTCCATACTGTCTCCTCCTGAGCTCAACATCAGTATCAGATAATCCCGTCTCCCTACTAGTCCCCAGTCGAGAGAGTAGATCAGGTATCTGCATAAGAGCAGCCTCTTTGACTGACATGGTTGTATCCACCATATTGAGAGTTAAAATAAATGGGCAAATTGATACCACGCCTATTAATTAGTTCGATCGATCGAGTGTGTAAATTAGTTTTTTACGCCTCATCCGAGGTGCAAACTTATTTTTGGTTTCTTGTTGATATCTTCAATTTCTTAAAATATGAATCACCATCTATATTTAGTTGCATTCACAGTGATCTTGCTGTATTTAACGAGTTGTAGCACTGGCGTTGTGATGATGACTAACTATCCTGTTTCAACTGCAGTCATGGGCTCTGGAATCAGTGATACTACTGCTGGAATGGTAGCATCAATTTCCAATGAAGTTTATGCTACCAAATCAAACTCCATTAATATTGAAGCTACTACCGCATCAAGCACAATCAGGTCCGCTAAAAATGTCATAGCATCCAGTACAATGATGAATCCACTTCCATCTATTTCTCCTACTTCAAATAGTCGACCACCTTCAAGTATGATATGGCCTAGTTTTAATTTACAAATTATAATAGATCCCTAGCATGCTTTGAGCAAGTGGATCACATTTTGATTGAACTAGGAGGACTCACAAACAAAACAGATGTAAAGTTATAAATGTGATTTAAGATGAATTTATAATTTTATAGGAGGAAATATTGGATGATTTCTGTGACATAACAATTACAACAGCAAACTCCTATTGCCGTCGAAATTGGACAGCTAACTGTCAGCTTCCATCTGGATTGTATGTAATATCAGTGCATGAATATCAAAAGTTATTTTTATCTATACCATAGCACTGGGGAGTATAACCTCAATAACTGTCATGCATGTTACAAAAAATTGAGGGCAAAAGCAGCAGTGTCTTCATCTTTGCGCTACTTTCTCACACAACCAAATAATGCCAACTCTGTATTGAATTTTAATGCTATGTTGACTATAGCAAGGCAAGCTCTCCCAGCATTTGAAGCTTCTACAGGTCTCACAACACTCTATGTATCATCATTCAATGCAAACCCACCAACAAGACAAACTCCAAGTGAACAAGTTCGCAATAGCTTGAAACTATTTATCGAACTTTGGGGAATACTTGGAGGATTGATATTGGCTTGTGCTATTGTTTTGATAATTTTCAGCATCATAATTGCAGTGGCATGGTAAGTTGCTATTCATTTTAAATTATGAATACACTTAATTGCAGCTGCATAAAGATGAAGATGAAAAAGAAGGAGAATCGTGTTGAACCAAATAAAAATAAAAAAGCAAAGAAAGGTAAACTTCAGTAAACAACCTTTTATATCTAACACACTGTCCCCCAGGTTCTAACTAAAATATAAATAGCTAGTGATGTAGTGAAAACTTGAGTGACATTTTAGATGAGCTAGATTCTATTTCTTTTTGACTAAAATATAAATAGCTAGTGATGTAGTGAAAACTTAGATGATTTCTTTCTTTTAATGATAAATTTAGTGTTAATAACCAATAATAATTAACCAGTAATATGTAGATCTTAATATACTGAAGTTTACGAGATCTAGCAATTAAAAAATGGTGCATCAAACATGTTCTCTGGCAAAGAGGAGGTTCCATACTTTTATGAGACAAATGAAACTCAAATCAACAGTCAAAACCTCAAGGAAACTCACCCAGCAGGCTCCCTGTATCGCAGACATGGCAAGTCTCATGAGGTGTTGGAAGAGCAACAATTTTAGTGATGTTCCTTGTATGGAAGAAATAAAGACCTTTCAGAATTGCTTAGAAAGATCTAAAGCACAAAGTCAGACAAGCATTGAAGGATTGAAACAAGACGGGAGGTATAACTCAAGTTATGTGAACGAAAGATTGAAGATGTTTGATTCACCAAGATAGAAACAATATGTATAAATTTAATGTGTTTGTTGCTTTGGTATAAAGTGTTGGATTATAATTCAAAATAATGATCATTGTAAAGAATACTGAAAGGCGTGGCCACCTATAAAAGTGGGAGTGGTTAATATTCTTTGGAAACGTAACTATAATAATTTTACCTAAATTACCAGGAGACTTTGGTGACCTCTGTAGAGAATACAAAAATAATTGGGAGAGAGAGTTAATTAATTCTATTAATAATTACGGTAACTAACAGGCGAACGTGGTGATTGTATCTCTCGTAATCTATTGCTTAGAGCTAACAGACGACTACGATCTTGATGATTGGCCACTCCCATATCAATTAAATCCTCTTCGGTGAGAATGAGAAATGTGTACGTATCCATCTGTACACAGGGAGGTGTGGTCAATATATATAATTAATCTAACAAATAAATACCTCTTGTTCTTTGAGCAAGGGGTAATACTGACCTAGCGATGCACTCTCTAGAGCTGTCTTTAGATCTGTAATAAAATAATAATAATAATAATAATAATAATAATTGGTTTTTTAGCAACTTTAAAAATTCATTAAAAATCCAAATTTGATTGGAATCAGCTCAAAGTTGATACACAGCATAAGGACATGTACGTGTATTAGAAAAAATGATAAAAATGAAAAATTCTCTCCCTCTGATTTTTGTCGAAATACCCTGTACTAAAGGGTTTTTGGTCCAATTTTGAAGCAACTTGACAATCCACTGACAAAACACTGTATTAACACTATGCTAAAATCCCGTGGAAAACCCTGCACATATCAATGGGTTCAAACTTTAAAGTAAATATACAACCAGTTTTAAGACAAAACACATATACATGTACATGTATAGTAACACTAAGTCTCACCAGGGCCTTTGTTATTAAACTTTGCTGGCTTCAAATTAAGCTGCAAAGTGTTCTTAGTCGATTGCTTCGACCGAGACTGGCTCTGTAAACTAGGGAAGTTCCCTCCAATACCGCCTGCCTTGTACCTGCCACCGGAAGTCCGAGTGACCTCGAAACTAGGAAACTTATTCTGTTTCAAAGGAAAGGGGTTGAGGTCCCTCCTGAATGAGCCACTCTGAGGAGGAGGGGGGAAAGGGAAAGAGGGAGACTGACGAGAAGGACCAGACGAAGGAGGAAACTTGAAAGCATTTCTAGGCAATGAACGTGGGGACTTGATTGGACTGAGGGGAGACTGGGGAAGAGGAGGAGGAATAAAAGAACGAGATTTTGAGACAGAGTTCATAGCACCAGGAGGATATACAAATTGTAGTTTCGGCAGTTGTCTCTCTTTCTTTTCTCTTTTGCTGTTATTGACTGCTCTTTGTTCTGGGACTATGATTGGAGGAGCTTTGGGAGAGGGAGAGACAGCACGAGGTGAGACTGCACGAGGTGAGACTGCACGAGGTGAGACCGGCCGCGGTTGAAACTGTTTGGTGACGGCAGGTAAGATCTGATGAGGCTCTAGCTCAGGTGATGGGCTCCGGCCGGAAAAAGGAGACAAGGATTGTGGACGCAGCAATCCTGGATTCTCCTATAAGAATCAATCAATAGAAAACAGTTTACATCAATTCAAGAGTACTCTTGGTTCACATGCATGCCTATTGTCTTACCAATAAGTTTGCTGGCATTGCTCCACTGGCAAGATAAGCGTTTGATACTCTCCTAAGGATGTCCTCAGCAGATACGTCTTCCTTCACTTCCTCATCGCTAGCAGTGTCATCTTGACTTGAAATTATTGGAGGAGGAGGTGAGGGTGAGACTTTAGGAACAGTGTCAGTTGATATCTAAAATAAAGACAAAGACTATAAATACTATTTACTAATATTGTGCACTAGTAGTTTACTAACAATATACAAATATTTTACTAGTATAGTTTACTAAAAGTATATAACATTATACCTCATCTTCTTCTTCATTCTCATCAAGTACAGACAATTTTATCTTAATGTTGTCCCTCTTGCTCATATTCTGTATTGTAACTTGTGCTATTAGCTTTATCATATGCACATCACCTAAAATATCAGTAATGATGACAATAATAATCTAAATTCTTTCTGTTATTTCAGTAGTATTACATGTACTTTATCTATCAAACAAAATAAAATATGACTCTTATTTATGTTACAAAGCCCATTCATTGCCCCACACATAATCTCACTTATCTCTTTACCAATAAGATTAGCAATGTCAAAGGCAGAGGACCCATTCTTTGCTCTCAGTGTGACATTAGCTCCATTCTCTGCGAGGAGTTTAGCCACTTTGTGCTGCTTGTGGTGAACTGCATGCATGAATGCTGTCCAGCCATGATAATAGTCTTGGGCATCGATATCAGCACCAGATTCAATCAACAACTGACATATCTATAAACACACAGAAATAAAATAAATAAAAATAAACCTGTTACAGTCTGAATGTATTACCTGTGTATCACTTTTTCTGGCAGCATACATGAGAGGTGTGGCCCCGTCTTTATCAGTAACTGTAACCGATACTTTATATTTGGTGAGGATTTCTTGAAGCATTTCAATATTGCCTTGCTTCACAACATCAAATATATCAACATCCATTGATGAAGAAACTAGAGAGTAAAGAACACTAGTATATTATTTGTAAACCATTTGGAAATTATTAGTAAACTATAAATATATATATAATTATAAATTACCAGCGTTATCTTCCGAGAGAGCTGATACAACTTTGTCGTGTTTCAAATTAGTCGCAAGATCAATAGCACGGCAATTATTCACATCTCTCATCTCACGGACGGCGCCTCCATTTAATAATAATCTGACCACGCCCACGTGGTTATTAAGTGCAGCAAGCATGAGGGCAGTCCAACCAGTTATAGAGAGCCGGGCATTTGGGTTGGCTCCTCCATTTAATAACATTTCGACGATCGCTTCACACCCAGACTGAGCGGCAGCCATTAGCGGGGTTACCGAGGCAACCTCGTCCGCAGTGTTAAGCCCCGCCCCTCTATTGAGAAGGTCTTGAGCGATGACAATGAAGCAACCTTGAGAGGCAGCAACTAGAGGTGTGGTGCCCCAGCTATTACCGACATTTATCTGTGCCCCTGCTTGTAACAATGTGTATACAACCTGATAAATTAAGTACATACATTACATAGTGACATTAAATTAATATGTAACCTCGTGGTGTCCATAACACGATGCTTGTAGCAGTGCAGTCCATCCGTAGCAGTTTTTCTGATCGACGTCGACTCCTTCGGCTTGTAATAATAATCTTACAAGTTTCTCGTGTCCATTGGCGGCAGCGTACATGAGAGGGGTGGAGCCTTCATCGTCTGTGATGGTGTCTATAGAAGAAGAGGAGACATAGTTTTTCATTGCTTCAACGTCTCCATTTGAGGCAGCTAACAGGATCTTACGAGTCTGGTCCATTCTCAGTACTATTACAAGTTTACTAAGAGAAAATGTTACATTCATGTAAGATTGTGACATTTGATTTCCAGGAACATTTAAATTAAAGCTTACCTATTTGCATAAGAGTTAATTCAGCACAGCTTTGACTGTACATCTCTCAGTCCATTTCTATTCAAATTTTCCTCTCTAAAATTACACGTTATACGGTAGATAGTCTAAACACGTGGAATCACGTGGGCTTCAAAATTTATTTTTAAGTAATAACAAGAGTAGATAATAATAATAATTATTAGCTCAATTCTTTCTGCATGTCTTGAAATGCCTTTGAGAGTCTTTGGAACTTTGCTTCCATTGCTTTCCTCTCTCGAACAGACTCAGCCAGGACTTGCTTCATTTCTTCTTCAGCCATTGCTACCTTTCTATTAGCAGCATCAATCTCTCTATCTTTCTCCTTCAGTAACACAGCTACTCTCTCTTCTACCATCTTCTTCTGACTTTGAGACTGTTCTTGTAGCTCAGCTTTCATCAACAGTAGTCTCTCTGATGCTTCTCTTGATTCTCCTATTGCTGTATCTCTTTCATTCATTAGCTTTTCTTCTCTCTGTCTTGATCTTTCCTGAAGCTGTTGTACACTTTCTTCCAGTGCTGATATAAGCCCAATTCTCTCTTCCCACTGTCCCTTCAACTTACTGAAACAACAATTCAACAAATTAATTAGTAAAAGCCAAAATTGAACACATTACCTATATTTGTCTTTCCATTTCTTGGTGCTATTCTGTGATTCATGTAACTGCTCTTCAATATAAATTTTCTGTTCAGTTTCCACACCAAGTTGCTCTTGACTCTCTTCCCTTCTGCTTCTCTCCTCTTCAATCTGCCCATTCAACTCATCAATCTTGTCTAACAGGTCTGACTGGTTTGTTGATAGCTGCCTCTTAAGATCCTGAGCTTCCTAGAGAAACAGATCCATTAGAGAGTTGTGACATCATCCTTACCTCCTTTAAGGATTTTATAGTTGAGGTTTGATCTTCTATCACTTTTTCACGAACTCTTATAGTAGTTTTGTTATTCTAGAAATAAATGGGATTCAATCTGCCTTACTTTTCTTCAATATACACTGTATACCTGTGCTAGCTCCTGTAACTCAGACACTTGTATCTGAAGTGATTCGATTTTTGATTCATAGCGACCACGATCTTGAGCCAATGCAGCTCCTTGATTAGCTAATTCTTGACTCCATAGTTTCTTTTCTTCTCTCAGTCCAACTAACAATGAGTCCTGTGCAGACAGTCTAGCCAGTAAATTAGTGTTCTCCTATGAAAGAAATACATAGAATGCTCCCCATATGCTATGATCTCTCATACTTCTTGTAATATCTGAACTCTTTCTTCATACTTAGCTCGTGCTATTGTCTCTGTGTCCAACTGCTTAGTTTTATTGTCAAGTTGTTTATTGAGCTCTTGACGACTGCTCAGTAAATCAGATATCCTCACCTTCTGCTCTTTTACAATCTAAATGAAGAAGGTCTCTTTGCATATGTGAGATCTGAAGGTATTCTCTTACAGAAGACAATTCACTTATAAGTGACGTAGCTTGATTTTCTTTGCCCCTTGTTGATTCCAATTGATCCTGACACAATGCCAGATCTTCAGCTAACTTAACATGATCAGTTTCCAGCTAAAGGATGGAATGGATACCGGCCCATATCCAGTTTGATTATTGTCAAATTAACTAACTTGCTGATAGCGTGCAGCCTCAATGCGGAGTCCAGCTCTAAACTCTTCTTCAAGATCTCTGTATGCCTTTTGCTGAGTCTGAAGTCTGAGAGAGCAAGGAGATGGTGGACTGTAATGTACAGGAATATAAATCTAGCATTACTTCTCCTTAAGTTGAAGTGCAATTGTTTCGGATCTCATTCTTTCCCTTTCCAGCTCTCTCTGTATCAGTTCTTGTACGCTATGGCTCTCCAAAGGCTGGAGTCTCTCTAAATCTTTCCTACAGATGATACACTAATAGGTGTTATGCCTATACTGAAATTTCCCTTACTGATGCTCACGCTCTCTAGTGGCCAGTAGATCCTGGAGTTGCTGGAGTTGTAATTCCAGCTTCTTTATAGCTTGTTGCTGGAGAGACACTTCTCTCTCGCTAGCAGCTGCTCTTGTCTCAGCCTCTCTTAAGCTTTCACTCTAATAATATAACTTCATTTACTATAACTATTATTATTACAAGGTTTCCCACAGGTTTTGACATAGTGCTCAGTTTCTTGCCAGCTTATAAGGTGTGCTGTTTAGCTACAGTATTTTGTCAAAAAAAGGCTAGGAGAGAATTTTGCATTTTTATAATTTTTTCTGATGCATATACATGTTCTTATGTTGCGTAGCAAGTTTGAGCTGATTCGGATCGATTTTGGATTTTTTATGAATTTTTAAAGTTGCTCAAAAATCAGGCCAAAGTCCCTGTACTATAGTACAGGGACTTTGGTCAAATTTCACCAAAAATGACAAGTAGAGAATTTTTCATTTTTATAATATTTTCTGATGCATATACATGTACTTAAGTTGTGTAGAAAGTTTGAGCTGATTCTGATCAAAATTGGATTTTTTACGAATTTTTTAAGTTACTCAAAAATCGGGCCAAAGTCCTGTACTATAAGTACAGGGACTTCAGTCAAATTTCGCCAAAAATGACTAGCAAAGAATTCTCCATTTTCATATTTTTTTCTGATACATATACATGTTCTGATGTTGTACATCTAGTTTGAGCTGATTCCAATCAAAACTGGATTTTTTAATGAATTTTTATAGTTAAAAAATTCTCATCAGTGGCTTTATGGGAAACCCTGCTATTATATACAGTGAAATAATGACTCACTGTATCAGTAAAGAGCTGTGATCGTGCTCTCTCCAGTCGTTCAACTTGTTCCTCATAGTCAAAGAGTCTCTTGGACTGATCTTCACATCGTCTCTGTAGTCTTTTAGCATCTGCCATCTCATCTTCTTGTAATGTCTAAAAGAGAAGATAAATGCATGCAAATAAAGTAAATAATCAATAATAATAATAATAATAATAATAATTACTTTCAGTCTTTTAATTTCAATACTTAATTGTGATGCTTTCTCCTTCTCGTTGATAAGAGCTGATTCCAACTGATTTCTCTTTGTCACTGAAACTTCAAACTTCTTTTGCCAGTCTTCACCTATGTATACCCATAAACAGTATATCCCTGGATATTCTTGCATACTCTGCAATTGCAATCGACGCACGTGCTCTGCTAGTTTAACAGAAGCTTGTTCGGATTTCCACCTTCTCTCCCTCTCTTCCTCCACCTCTCTCTAAAGCTAACTTTAAAATACCATCCGTCAATTTTAACTAAATTTACTTTATGAGTGAGTGGCTCTCTTGTGTGACAGTGAGTGTGTCTGGCTACTCCACTCGTCTGCAATTGGTTTTTTGCTTTCTTGTCATCAGCAATGCTACTAACTGTGTGTGCGTGTGTGTGTGAATCATGTCTTAGGGAATAATATTTAACATACCATTTTGTCTCGATGGTCTCTTTCTTATTTTAACGTTATTTCTCACTCTATTCTCTTGATCACTGCTGCTATCTGACTCTTCACTACTTGCTTTCTTTCCTCCTGCAGTGGGTGGAGTTTGAATTAACCACACCCATCAATTAATACATATATACCTATAATAATCGTCTTTCCAAGTGATTTGCGTGCTTCCTTCAATTAGAACAAGAAAATAATTAAAATTACGAGTATGAATACCTTGGTTTTATCTTGCATTAGTTCCTTTATTTGGCTTTCCAGTGCTACAAGTCGGTTCCCATAGTTGTTGCTAGGTGACGGGGAAGTCTCAGCCACGCCCACTTTCCCTTCTGTGGATCTAGAGGGTTTCTTTTTAGTCCCACCATTGTACTGTTGCAGGACCCTGTCAATATGAGGAGTTTCTAGTGTCCTGTCTTGCTAGATTATGAAGAGGAATGAGGGAGGGACGATCAATATTTGGACAAATAAGCATAGCATACTTTCTCATTGTCACTGCTATAGTCCAAGAAATCAAGGAAGGCATCCAGAGCTATATTTGCATTTAAATTCAATGTCTTTTACAACGATAACTAACTTGTTTTTGCTGCCGCCATCTTACCCCGCCAAAATTGCACTAGCACATGATTATGTAAAATTACTCTACACCATAATATCGTAGTAGCTGCGATGGCCGAGTGGTTAAGGCGTTGGACTTGAAATCCAATGGGGTCTCCCCGCGTAGGTTCGAACCCTACTCGCAGCGTCTTTTTTATTTTTATTTTTTCTTCTTATTGCTTGATCATTGATTTTAAATAAATTCAATTTTTTAGTCACTGTGCTGTTTTTTCTTTACAGGATCTGCTGCTTTCTTTATTTTACCGGTTGCGACAATCCAACACATCCACCATGAAGGAAAGACAAAAAATGTTACCATGGGATACAACCATGCCCCCGAAATAAAATGGGATCTGTAAGCTAAAGTAAGACCTTCCATTGCCATAGTGAGTGCATCTTCAATAGGTTGTGATGTTGAAGAGAATAGATACAAATGAAACAGACAAGAATATAACACTAAGAGAGGTGGAGAACAGAGCAATAAAAGAAGCTTGGACCTAAAAATGTGAAAAAAGAGAACGTGACAATTTGAATCATAATTATTACTTTGTAAGGGGACTTTGGCCCCATTTTTGGTCAACTTAAAATTTATAAAAATTGATTGGAATTAGCTCAAACTTGCTACACAACATAGAAGAATCATGTATTATGTATCAGAAAATTTTATAAAAATTGAGAATTCTCTCCTAGTTGTGATACTTACACAGTCGAGTGCGAGGTTGACAATGAAAGAGGAAGGGAGAAGAGGAGAGTGAGATAGAGAGACAGAGCAAAATGCATGAGAGAGAGTCCATAAAGTCCAATGGCAGTGACAAATAAAATGAGACTACATGTAACATGATGCTCCAGTTCAGTAAATGTTGGCCTATAAACAATAGCTTTAAAAGTACAGGCACTTGTACATAGGTAAAGTTTACCTGATGATAACAGCTGAAAGAGTCATGACAATGATCAAGGAAAGCAATGAGATGGTCAAATTAAGCAACGAGAGCTTGATGGATAAAAAGAGAAGAAAAGAAGGAAAGTAATAGAGCAAAGAGCCACTCAACAGTGAGGCAAACAGCAAAGAGAGAAAGTGTTTCAACGGAATGTTAAGAAGAGGCGGAATACCCTAAAATTAACATAAAAATAAAATAAAAACTTTTTGAAAAAGTGCTTACTAGCTCTTTACAAACTCGACTAGCTTCTACGTTTTCAGCATTTCTCAACACCCATTGCCTTATACTCTAAAAATAAGTTAAACACTTGTATCATTTTATTTTAATGTTTAACCTCTAATATTAAAGGGGCTACAAGAAGGCCAAAGAAAGGCGAGTATTGTCCAATGGATAAAAAAGTTATAGGCGAGGACATGAAATAAAAGAACTCTGAATGATGAAGTCGCTCAAGTAGATTATTCAAACTCCTCAGTATTCCTTCTAATGACCTACATGTATAAGAAATATAAACTTATAGAACTATTTTCAAAAGTTAATCGTGTTTCTTATAGCACCTTGCAACTGAGAGCAAGCCTCTACCACTTGGAAAGTAGTTGTTTTCTGGGAGTATTTGAAGAGTCAACGAATCTATCCTGTGTCTATAAATATATTGAAGAAAAAAGAGGAGAGAAGAGAAAATTATGGGAATAGGAAAAGAGCAAACAGTGTCATATTATTTTGGTGCCATTATTATTACTTAAGAAAAAGGGCATGATTGTTAAAGGGTAGTCCTGTTGCTTGGTGACTCAATACAGCAACTGCAGTCAGTAAAGAGCTGCTATGCTGATCAGAAAAATCCGGCTATAGGAAAGAGACCATAATTTTTATAAGCAATAGTCTGTACCTTTCTATGGAAACCAGCATTAATACCTTCAAGCTCACATAGTCTTGAAGCAACAAAAACAAGGTCAAGATTAGGAAGAATAGCATTAACGCCCTCTGACAAATTAGAAAAACAATTGTTAAAATGTTGAAAATACTTTTATAAAATAACGTTCATAATTCTTACCAGGTATTACATTTACAAAGCTGATCCCTTCACTTAAAGCAACCTCAATATTAACAACTGCTTGAATAGCACCTGCTCTGCCACTCAATGGCTCCCTCCAAATACCTCAAACAATAAGTAAAATAGGAACACAATGTAATCCAAATGTTATACCAGGAGTATGGAATCCGAGGTATGAGTCCAGCCAGGCTTGAGCACCAAGTGTATCGTTACCAGTGATTAATATAATAATATCCTTAGCCCAATAATTGCGAGCTATTATTGGAATGGGCAAATAAGAGAAGGTATTAATGTATAATTAGAAAGGAAAAACTCAAATACTCATTACTTGATAGATACTTGGCCAATCCAAGTAGTACGACGATCCCATAATTATAATCATTTCTTATATTATCAGGAGCTAGCAAAACTAGTGATTCGGTTGAGGATGAGCGACCAGCCCTCAGAATGCCATACAAGTTGGAGCCATTGATAGAAGGCCCCCCTGTAGGGTCCTGTACACTATAATATTGGTGGTAAACCTCAAACCCAGACCCCTTCAGTTCTGATTCCATCCAATCATGGGAATTGGGCCTGTGAATAATTAAAAGTATGAGAAATTTTAAAATGTATTAATATAATGGTGATCATAATAGCACCCCAAAAATGGTACGTACGACTACAATTTCTAACCACGGAATATTCCTGTATTGTTTGGTGAGTTTCGAAAGATGGCCAGAATTCACATATTCTCTCTTAACAAGACCGGTGAGGAGTGCATTCTCATCAAAGAAACGATATCTCACGTACTCTGGCCTTAGGAGGATCAAATAGGCCAGGAGTCCAAATGAAAATAACACAAAACTGCATTACACAATAATGAATAAGTTTTATGCTCTCACTTTATTTGTCTTCCTCTTTTTATCAATAATTCAGTTAGTTTTCTGGCTTGATCAGACTCTGTGTAAGAAGCCAATTTCATTTCTGTAAAGTAAAAGACTAAAAGTGTTAAAAATTATTATTAAATTAATTAATCAATTTTTAGAACAATTATAGATCTAATCTGCAGATCTGCGCATGCGCAGACGAATCAGCCAATTACTGCAGTCTACCTAAAAACCACACTTGTGGGTTTACCTCCTCCGTTTGCTCGATCCATCTCTCTCTCACTTCTCTGTGACCCTCTCTCTTTCTCGAATCGCGTACAAAAGATGGCTCTCTTCAGAGAGGTAGCAAAGGAAGATATGCAGGCAGCATACGAAGAAGTCAGAAATGACGGCAACGAAACAAACTGGTACTATATATAATACAATTTCGTGGTCGTTTTGATATCCTTGCTCCTCTAGGGCATGTTATAAGTACGAGGGTAAATCATTGGTCGAAGGTGGAACAGGTGCTGAGTACAGTGATCTTCTTGAATTATTAGGAGGTAAGCATTATACATGACTGGGGGTTCAGGGTCTTTCTATCAAAGAGACAACCATGTATGTATACATATAATCTCTCTACTCCAATAGATGATGATAGAGCTTACTGTTACGTGAGGTTTGAGACTGGGGATGAGATGAGTCGTAGGGCAAAGTTTGCTTTTATCACTTGGATTGGCCCTGCTGTTGGTGCACTAAAGAAAGCAGCAGTCTCAACAGACAAAGCTTTTGTTAAAGAGCTCTGGCCAGTAAGCTCTAATAAAGTTTATTTCACTGTCATTTTATGCATGTATTCACTTTTTAGAACTTTGGTAAAGAGATATTGGCTGATGAAAAGAAAGAAATACAATACGATACTGTGAAGAATATATTGGAGAAGGCCAGCGGTGCTGCTTATGGCACAGGGAAGTAATTCTGACAAGGCATCGTCCACAATGCAGCTAGTATCCCTCTCTCTGTCGTCATCCTACTACTACTATTAATAATTATTATTTTATTGAACTTTTTCATTTGGAGCTAAGAATTATTTGTGCGTGTGTGTACTAATAATTATTATACTAATTATAACTTAGAAACAAATTATTAGCTTTCTTTTCCACCTTTTCTCACACTTTAGTGGAATTTTGTTTAAATTTATAAATTATTAGAATAATAATAATTATTACTTAGTGATTCAATCCATTCTTGATATTTTTTACAACATTCCCCTAAACACAAGTATGTATTCATTTTCATGAATATAATAATATACCAACTGTGTGTGTGTGTGTGTGTGTGTGCAGTGCATGTGTGTAAACCACTGCTCTTCTGATTTTACCAAATAAGGTAATCCCAGTGGGCTGTGGCAATCAACATGAGAATGAGTAGTGTGAAGAATGTGTTAATTAGTCTTAGAATGAGCCTGTTGCTCTTGGCCCTGTAATGGCCCTCCAGCAATCGAACAGGAAGCCACTCCTACTCCATCTGATCGAGATGTGTTGTTACTCATAGGTTGTGATGAATCCTGTCTCTCTGTGCCCATTGCATTACGTAGACTAGATACTGAAACAAGTTGGGATGGAGGGACCTGTTTTAGAGAAGAAAGAGAGAGCGTGTGAATCACGTGACAATAGGACCAATTAGTACTTATAGTTTCTCACCTTTGAAGCCACTGACACTAACTGTGATGTGATACTAGAGGCTGGAGGGAAGAGAGAAAGGAATGGGTCACGATCACACATACATGTATATATACAAGACAAACCTGTTTTAATTTCTTGTTCAGAAGGTGGAGGTAACACGTAATGTCCTTTGCTGTCAAGTGAAGGCGGTTTCGAAAGACGCTCTCTCTGAATGTCATCGAGATTAACAATTAACTTGCTTGTTTTGTCAATAGTATCCTGTACATCTGTATTGTGTGTGTGTGTGTGTGTGTGTGTGTATTGTATGTGTAAGTGTGTGTGTGTAATATAATATGATATAAGTATTGAAACACCATCTGGAACATAGTAATGATCACAGTACAATACTCATACTAATGTCAGACTGTATAAGGACACAACATCTGGCTTAGGATGAAGGAAGGTGTGATATCAAAAGGAAGAGAGACAAAGAGAGAGAGAGAGAGAGAGAAGCTGAGAAAGGATACAAGAATGACAAGTAGCAGATTAAAAATAGAAATAAGTACTAGGAGAGAGATAGAATAGCATAGAAAGGAGGAGGAACAGACACACACACACACACACACACATATTGTGCTAGTTTACAAGAGAAATGTGTAAACAGTAGACATACCTGACTGGTCCTCAGGAATCCCTGGAGACTCCTAATATAAAGAGAGGGAAATACACACACCACATATACATGTATATGTACATGTACATGGACGCACACCTACAACATATCAATAATAGTGTGCCCCATAGGCCATGCCACAGTTATTGTATTCACATAAAATGCCTTATATGGTAAAAGATGCACTTCCTGATGAGACAAGCAATCAAAGCATTAGTAGTCCAATTGAATTATATAGAGAGACAGAGAGGGAGAGAGAGAGAGAGGGGTACTCTAATAGACTATAATGAGTATAATGAGTGTTTTATACACACTATAATATATAAGATTAAAGATGTACACATATAATATGCATGTACATGTACATGTACATACCATACGTGACTTAATTGTAGTATATTATATGCAGTATGTACTTTGGGCTTCATACTACACATACACACATACAGGTAATGCTAACAGCATGGTAAACATTCTTTCCTAGTTCAGCCACAATTAAGATACACAAACACTTTGACCAATAAAAGAAGTGTTCGGCTATCAATGAGAAGGAGTACTAATAGCAAGTTTGCACGTATGGAGACAGAACGACCATTTTAATATCAACTATAATCCTGTTTAGTAATGACATTAATTAGAGAGATGAGACTGAGAGAGGACAGGCCACACATAAACAGTAGAAAGGACACGTACATGTACATGTACACGTACATGTACATGTATATACATTGTACCTCTTGTTCAGTTTCCATTGGTTCAGTATCTTCTTGTGCAGTATCAACTCCATCGTTACTCTTCTGTTTATCTTTATCAATCACGTTATTTGTATCTTCACTCTGACATTAATATAAGTAATAATAATAATAATAATAATAATAATAATAATGCTATTATAAAAGTAGAGGATCACATTCTACATTGTACATGATAAATATATCTACTTGATGTCGTATCAGATTTCTCTCAGTCCTCAGTAGCAGTAATTTAAACCCCCACTCTTCCTTCTCTCCCTCTCTCTCTCTCCTACTTTTGGGCTATTCTTATACAATGAATGCATTGTATATGTGTAAGAACATACCCCTGTAGTTGATGTTGGTGGCTTGTTTGTCTCTTTATCTGTCTCGTCTTTCTGTCTTGATATAGTCTCCTGCATTCTTCCGTGTCTCCCGCTTGTCAGACTATTCAAAATGGCGTTGCCCATCTCTAGAGCAAAACTCCCACAGCCTTTCACAAACTGCTGTAGACTGTGAGTCAAGGATATAATGATAATAAAAAGTAATAAAATATGATATACATGTACATTGTAGCATTAGTTCATGACCACAACTCACACACACAAATGATCACATTTCTACACATCTTAACAGCAATGAACCATGATGGACTATGGCTCAATTTCATTAACAGTATCAGTTACCTTACTATAGGGACAATGTCTACTGTCTACATTATGTAAGGACAATTTTCAAAATTGAAACCCAAAACTAGATGCATTAAGCAGCAAAAGACAACTAGTTGTGCCCAATGGAATGATAAGAATCAATTAGCATGAAGAGAGAGTACGTGTACATGTACGCATACAAACAAACGTAAATGTATATACATGTACACATTAGGTACATGTAATTGCTAACCTGTTGGCATAACTGACTCCCAATTCACTGCCGTATGTTGAGAGAAGAAGGGAAGAGTCATTTTTGCTTAGCGTGGCAAAAGCTGTGTCATATGTAGGAGCAAATGAGCCAAAAGGACCATACATCAAATAACTGACTGAAAAGAGAGAGAGAGAGAGAGAGAGAGAGAGAGAGAGAGAGAGAGAGACAAAGAAGAGGCATAGAAAGATGACAGAGTGTGTGTATTAGAGGATGAATGAAGAGGGAGGATAAAAGAGAATGTTAAGCTACATATCTGATACATTTGTACATGTACAGTACATCTGTATCTCCAAATTGCTATCATACAGCTAACAGTTGTGTGCAGCCAAAGGAACACAATTCCTGAGATACCATGAGAAGATACGGACAAACACAATGAAAAAGCTAATGCACTCTGCACCAAATAAAATTTGATAACAATAATGGCACACCAACTAAATACTACAGGAGGTTGTGTGGTTGGTCTATAGTTCATTCACCAGTAATACTGTATTAGGGGGAATCCTATGATCTAGTCCATGACCATTGACACATGTACATGTACTAGCTAGCATTGAATAAAAGTAGTTTTAGCATTAAAGCACTGAATAAACACTTGGCACAACAACATCCTCAAAGAGACAGCACAGTGATAGGGTAGTACATGTACATGTACATGTACATGTATGTAACAGTAAAAATAGAGAGAGTGTGTGTGTATGAGGGTAAGTGCTAAAGGTGTCCTAATTACTAAATATCATTTATTAATTATTGTTTTGGCAGGACGAATGACTGTGTGTTCGCTAATATCAAATTACAATTTAAAGATAAAAGGGAAAAGAATGCAAGACAAGACACAAAGGGCTACACCAGTAATTGAATATACGTCAATAAATAAACTGTGACACAAAAACAGGCTCTGTGAACCAGTATCACTAGAATACACTAGCTACACGTGTAGGATAAGCACGTGTCCACTCCCACATTCATTGCATTCAAGAGTAATTACTTTTATAAAAAAAACAAATATTAAGAAGCACCCGATAATTTGTACAAATATTATTATTATTATTAATAACTATGCTTTAATAATCACCAATTAATAACTACTAATAATACATACAGTGTTAACTAATAATACTCACCAGGTGTTGCTTTAAAGACTGGTAGCTCACTGGTCAGCACAGTAGAGGCACTGTGGCCAGCTTTGATCTTCTCAGAGAGCGAAGTGAGATCAACAGGAAGACAACTTTTTGCTAAAAAAGAGAAAGAAAGAGATAGAGAGAGAGGGGGGGAGAGAGAGAGAGAGGGGGGAGAGAGGGAAAGAGGGGGAGAGAGGGAAAGAGGGGGAGAGAGGGAAAGAGGGGGAGAGAGGGAAAGAGGGGGAGAGAGGGAAAGAGGGGGAGAGAGGGAAAGAGGGGGAGAGAGGGAAAGAGGGGGAGAGAGGGAAAGGGGGGAGAGAGAAAGAAAGAGGGGGAGAGAGGGAAAGAGGGGGAGAGAGGGAAAGAGGGGGAGAGAGGGAAAGAGGGGGAGAGAGAGAGAAAGAGGGGGAGAGAGGGAAAGAGGGGAGGGAGAGTAGGAAGGAAGACAAAGAGGGAATAGATAGAGACATCCAAAGGCAAGGGATATGTTAAAGCTAACCTGTATGAGGGTTGAGTATGTGAAGGTAAGCCTCTCCATCTTCCTCTTGATTAAGAAAACTCAACTACAAGGGATGCAATGACAAATAAACAATTCTAATAATAATTACAATAGGAAACAAAACATCCCACAAAGTAGTACATTTAGTCTAAAAAGGATGTGCATGCGTACAATGAACATGTACAATACAATATGACTATACAATACAGGCCATGTGTGTGTGTACAACACAACAACAGTAGATGATAAAGGAATGGAGCATTACCTCAGCAGGTGAGGAGGTACCATGTCTCTTTCTCAAATTCTTCGTAGCTTCATCAACTTGAGAGAGAATATCCTCTTCTTCTAAATTAGGCCCACCATTGCCTTTCTGCCCCACTCCTTCCTGTATCATTGGTGTCTCTAATTCTCCTACAGCAGGGCTGCTGCTACCTAGTGTCTTAAGAGAGTCGGTTGGTAAGTGAAGAGGAGCTGAGTATAAAGATGATGGAGTTTGTAATGAGACGAACTGTGATGATGATGATGATGATGATGATGATGATACTTGTGCTACATGTGATGAAGAGTTTGGTGTGAGATGTGATTTATGTGATCCTGTGTGAGATGTTCTTGTTACTGGGCCTTGCTTCATTCTTTTTGATGTGATTGGTGGGATTTGTGATGGTGCTATTGGTACTGGGGCTATGGGACGAGGAGGAGGAGGAGGAGGAGGAGGAGGAGGGGGTGAGAGTTCAGTATCAAAACCAACTTGAACACGAGTTAAGTAAGACTGATCAACTGTGGGTTCTATAATCTGAGAGAGAAGGAGGGAGAGAGAGAAAGAGACATAAAGGGATTTAGAATTTCAAGAGAGAGAGAGAGAGAGAGAGAGAGAGAGAGAGAGTTAGCCCTACATGTACAATTCATAAACATTGAAAGTTTATAGCTACACACCAACTCATACATTAATATAAAACAGAAATAATTATACATGTACGTGTACATATGATAGAGTCATAAAACAAACACACACCCCATGAATGAACACACACACACACTTGCATCAATCAAGAGCTATTCTTACCTCACCAGACACATCAATAATACCGGTATTATTCTCATCAGACAAAGCTGGATTACTGCCAGGAGGCCCTGCTCCTACTGATGATAGAGGAGGAGGAGGTAGCATGGAGAGATTGATCCTGCAGAGAAAAGGACTTGAGTAATCAACAGGGGAGGACGAGGTAGAGAGAGGAAGGGGCTGGGTGAGTGGTACGAGACCGTGCTGGATATCAGGACGAATTGATAGCTCCTAAGAATAATAATTATAAACTTTTCATCACTTGTTTAAACAATAAATAAACGCAATTGCCAAGAACATCATTATGATTAATAGGAAAATGGCCAAAGGATATGTATGTACATGTATAGATGTACATAGAGTAATTTTTATTATTTTCTAACCTTTTGTATCATTTTCAGTCCAAGATTGAGTAGTCGCTTAGCAGTTTGGTAATAAACTGTCTCAGGTGAGTTATAGGTCATAGCATTGCTACACATTATAATGAAATCCTCCTATTACAACAAGCAAATAGTAGATTTAGTAATGGTAATAAAGAATATTTCATCAAAAATAGCTAAGAGAGAATTCTCCTTTTTATATTTTTCCCTGATACATATACATACTCTTATGTTGTGCAGCAAATTTGAGTTGATTCTGATAAAAATTGGATTTTTTTTACAAATTTTAAAGTTGCTCAAAAATCGGGCCAAAGTCCCTGTACTATAGTACAGGGATTTTGGCCAAATTTCACCAAAAATGACCAGTAAAGAATTTTCGATTTTTATAATTTTTTCTGATACATATGCATGTTCTTATGTGGCGTAGCAAGTTTGAGCTGATTCCGATCAAATTTGGATTTTTTACGAATTTTTAAAGTTGCTCAAAAATCGGGCCAAAGTCCCTGTACTATAGTACAGGGATTTTGGCCAAATTTCACCAAAAATGACCAGTAAAGAATTTTCGATTTTTATAATTTTTTCTGATACATATGCATGTTCTTATGTGGCGTAGCAAGTTTGAGCTGATTCCGATCAAATTTGGATTTTTTACGAATTTTTAAAGTTGCTCAAAAATCGGGCCAAAGTCCCTGTACTATAGTACAGGGATTTTGGCCAAATTTCACCAAAAATGACCAGTAAAGAATTTTCGATTTTTATAATTTTTTCTGATACATATGCATGTTCTTATGTGGCGTAGCAAGTTTGAGCTGATTCCGATCAAATTTGGATTTTTTTACGAATTTTTAAAGTTACCCCAAAAGCTAAGAACTACATGTATGCATACTGTATATACATGTACATGTTGTCAGCTCATGGAGCATCATTTAGCATGTTTTGTGGGCAACCCTGCTTTCTACTTGATTACACATCTGTTCATTACCTTAAACTCATTAACTGATGGATACTCATTCAATTCAACTTTATTCATCATAGTTTGTAGATCCATTGGTTGCTTGATAATGGCAGAGTATCCAGGGGCTATCTCGTCGGTCACCGGCTCACCAAAAACCCCCTCGGGGTCATTGCGACACAACTGATTGTGCAAGTGTCTCAGGAAATACTTGAGAGCGTTGGGAGGTAGTCGTGTACCAATAATGTGAGAAGAGGGAGTGGAAGAGACTGGGGGTGAAACAGGAGGAGCTTTACTAGAGAAAAAGAGGAAAAATGAAGAGAGAGAAGGCATGTAGTGTGAAAGACAGAAAGAAAAGAAGATAGCACATACAGACATAGTGCACAATATTTTTGATGAACATTCCTAAATTAGGTTACAGACATGCTGTAGTCATGTAACAAGAGGGTCAAACATACTTTGAAGGTTGGTTCTCCACTGCTGCTGCTAATGATGGAGCAGGTACTGGTGGAGCAGGTGCTGGTGGAGCAGGTGCTGGTGGAGCAAGAACTGATTGTGTGGCTAATTCATTGGGTCTTGAGGTGGAACTAATCTCATTAAATGATTTAGAAGACGAGAAGCTATCGTCAAAAGAAAGTCCAAGAGGAGAAGCAGACCCCATCCAGTCATCCTCCATTGGCTCCTCCTTTTTCACGAGAGGGGGTGGGGCTTCAAGATGTCGGCTATGTTTATGCTTTCCTTTCTTTTTCTTTTTTTTCTTTTCAGAAGACGAAGAGAGAGGACGTGATTCGTAACCGGGCGGAGTCTGTTTGAGCAGAGAGGGCGTGGCATGATACGACAGTGAAGTCAAATCAGGCGGTTTAGCTAGCTCTTGTTCCGAAGAGGACAAAGACTGTCGTTTCCCTGGTAACGGTTTCCCAGGCAACATCCGTTTCCCCAGCGACAGTCGATTAAGATCAATCTCAACCTTTAAGCTCTGAGAAGGCGACTCTAGTTTAGCATGGGGGAATTTTTTCCCGGGATTCGGTGCCTTGTCATATGAAGAAAATTTTCCCGAGTCGTGACCAGCACCTTGCACAAGCGATTCCTCAAATTCTTCATCACTGATATCGTCCAATCCTGTTGCTCTTAAAAGATCATCAGTGAATGGAATTGCAGGAGTTGGGACAGAGGGCGCGTGTCGATGGTGTTTCTTCTTTGATTTTTTGCTCTTTTTGTGATGCGATCGAGACTCGGTCATGCCCATTCTGGCTCTGGCAATGTCTTCCAAAGGAAGCTGGACAAGAAGACCCTCTTCGCTCTCACCTTCGTCCTCCTCCTCCTCATCTTCGTATTCATATTCTTCGTCCCCTTGAGGGACACGTAGGTACATTGTGACTCTGTTGATATCTAGATGGAGGGAGAAAGAAATGGGAGGGGTCAAGAGTGAAATTCCCGCCAAAATCTGAAGGTTCATGATAGACTCACCTCTTTCCTCGAAGCTGCTCCCGCCAGAGCTCTTGTGTTTTTTACTCTTGTGCTTTTTGGAGCTCCCCATTATTATACCAGCCTATTATAACCTTTTAGTCCTTTAATAACAATAAGGAACTCACCGTGAGCGACACTAGTAAGGCTACAACATGTACAAACCTGCAGCCATTTTTTGAGCGAGAGATATTGTAGGTGTGGTAATAACGAGCGTGGGCGTGGTCAAAATAAAACACGCCCATTATAATTGCAGGCGGTTTGTTTTGTTTTTATTTTTATTTAATTTTCATTAATTATTATTTAATATTTTAGAAAGTATAGAAACACTGTATGTATGAATGGAAGAGCCACCTGGAGACGTAAGAAGCATTACAGAAAGGAATGGGGAGCTGAGGGAACTGATAAGGTCTCGTGTAACATCAGAAGTGATGCAGAAAAAGATTAAAGAGTGTGTGGAAGAGCTACAAGTACAAGAAAAAAAGAGAAGGAAGAATCATGGGGAAGAGGGAGGAAAAGAGAGCAATAACCTCCTTCGACTGTTAGAAGAAAGAGGACTAGTGGAAGACGTAATGGCTGGTCTTAAATTAGGTGGCGATTTGGGTGGGCGGAGTGGGCCCACATCTAAGGGGGAAACATCCTCTTATGAAGCCAAATCAAGTGGGTGGAGTTTAATAATTTATTTTTGACATATTGTGCATGGTTAAAATTATAGATGTTTGATTTAAAATGTTTCATAGCACGACTAAGCACTTAACTATAATACTTTTTACTTTATTGCAGGTAAACACGTTCAGTGTATTTATTTCCAAGTTTTGCAAGGACGTGCTTTTGTTGATCACCTGACCTCCGTGACAGAGCTCCTTTCTCAAGACACGTCAACTTTTACGCTTCACGTCTATTTCCGTCATCAAAGGTTTCAATCGTCGGCAGTCCCTTGCTCATGTGAGCCTGAGTTTAAGGAAGGGTTTCTGCTTGAACTACCAAAAGAAGGCAAAGACGATTGGATCACATCTCCCGAATTAATACACATCATATTAACAAGGACACACCCCAACAGAGAAGGAACGACCAGGGAACTGGTAGGGTCGTACCTTCTTGACTGGCGCTCGGTCCTTGCATCTCCAAATAATAAAATAAATAAGTCGTTTGAGTTGATTGGGCCGAGAGCCGACGGGCGAGTCTCACCTGGTGTCCTTACCCTCCAGTGGGAGCTCTTTCCTCATGAGCGGAGCGGCCATGATAAACTTGTCATCGATAAGAAGATCCTAGAGGCTCAAGTCTCACTTGAGCGACAGAAAGAAACAGAAAGAAAGAGATTGTTCTTACTCTATGCCAAGCAATGGTGGGCAGAGTTTATAGCTATAAGAGGACCTTCCTATGGGCAGAGACTTGTAAAGATTTTCGCCGAAGACGAGAGAGGGGATACTCATTTTGTGTGTCATTATGTGTCTCCTGTTAGAGTCCACGAGGGATTGTTAGAGAGCCCAAGACATGCCGCAAGGTTTGTGAGTCTTTTCCAGTACCGAGAGACTGTCGGTGTTGGCGGAGATGATGGTGCTAGGTTTGATGGTGCTTGGCAGAGTATTACTAGTTTCCTTTCAACTAAGAGTGGGGTGAGTTTTGATTACAAACTAGAATCAAGGAAACCTTCTCTTTACCTTTACCTTTAGTCTTGTGAGGATCATTGTGTATTGTTGTGCAGTCTGCTGTTAGGATATGGACTCGATGCCTATGTCTGTATTGGAACAAAGACAAAGTGTCAGTTACCACATGCTTGGGTGATGACTATCAATGGAAATGGATCAGTCATATTCTGGGAATCACTTACTGGCCAGAGGTATGTACTAATAAAGAAAAAGAAGCTGTTTTTATAGCAATTATAATATTATTATGTCAGTCACGACCTTGTGATTATTTTCAATTGTGGCCGGTTGTGGGCTATTTTACTGTACATGTTGGTTGCTCAAAATCTGGTCGAAGACTCCGTACTATAGTACAGGGTGTTTCGCCAAAAACTACTAGGAGAGAATTCTCCATTTTTATAATTTTTTCTGATGCATATACATGTCCTTATATTGTGTAGCAAGTTTGAGCAGATTCCAATCAAGTTTGGATTTTTTACGAATTTTTAAAGTTGCTAAAACTCAGGCCAAAGTCCCTGTGTACAGGGATTTCGGCCAAATTTTGCCAAAAATGACAAGGAGAGAATTTTGCATTTTAGTAATTTTCCTGATGCATATACATGTCATATTGTGTAGCAAGTTTGAGCGGATTCCGATCAAGTTTGGATTTTTTACGAGTTTTTTAAGTTGCTAAAAAATCAGGCCAAAGTTCCTGTACTATAGTACAGGGATTTCAACCAAATTTCGCCAAAAATGACTAGGAGAGAATTTTCCATTTTTATAATTTTTTCTGATACATATACATGTTCTTATATTGTGTAGAAAGTTTGAGGTGATTCTGATCAAAATTGGATTTTTTACGAGTTTTTAAAGTTCCTTAAAAATCCAATCAAAGTCCCTAAACATGGTCTTTGGCCATAATGCCTGGTGTACATGTAGGTATCATCAGTCAGTCTATGATCCAGATACTCAGGCTGGAACAGTATTGACTCCGCCAAGTCACCCTTATCGCACTATTGGGTGTGTCTTTAATCACAAAACATTTTATGCCAATGCCCAGTCGTCTGATAATGTATTAACTTGTAACTTTAACATCAATAAGAAGAGTCATTGGAAAAGATTAAGCAATGAAGATGTGGCTACGGTACAGCAGGTAATCTAGTGATATTTCTCTCTACTCTCCCTTTTATACCGTATGTTTAATTTCTCTCTATTATTTAGTTGTACATTCCTCCACTAGTTGACAGTACAGTTGATCATCAGTCCACGAGTCTTAGACTAGAAGAATCACTAAAATCATTAGTAGCCCAGCACAGAGTAGTAAGCTATGAGAAGATATACATGTAATAGAGAGATGTTTATAAATTGTTGTTGGGCCCACTATTCTGTTGGTATTTCACTGACTCATTTGTTATCCTTTCAATTTTATCAAGTGTAAAATAACTTCTACATGCACTAATAATAATGTAAAATTAATATGTACATATGTAATGGTTGTACTATCATATAACTCTATATAGGATTGTGGACTCACTACACAATATGATCCTGATCTATCTTATCTCCTTGGTCCTGCACTATCCTCATACGAGTTAGAGAGGAGAGATGGAGTGTCTGTCGGAGTGGAAGAGTTCCAGGAAGGAATAAGACGCTATGTCTTGGAAGGTCATACCTTTAAAGGGTTCCCAATACAGTTCAATCATTTTAATGCTCACAATATCTTTGTCACTTGCCTCAAGTTAGTTTAATGAGTGTTCTTTTTTCTTCCTATTGCATAGTCAGAAATTAATTATAAGTAATTTTTCTAGATCGCCTGTTGGCGGTGATATAATTGGTTGTCGTGGGGACAGTGTGAGGCTTGCAATCCGTGTGAAAGTCTATCCTTATCCTGAGGATGTACAAGCTGTTTGGATAATGCTAGCAGTTACCTACCAATCAATACTCTAATAATAATAATAATAATAATAATAATAATAATAATATGTAATAAGTATTATTGAATGATAATAATAATGATAATAAGAACTATTATTATAATGATACTAACGATGGACAATGAACTTAACAAAAACTTCAAGGATAGTATATGCCTAATTTATAGGCTATACTATTATAGATCTAGATGTTATGCAGGCAAGGAAGCTCAGTTTGACTGAACAGACATCACTGAGTCTGAAACTGTTTTCTGTTAGTCTCGCTAGCCAGACCATTCCCCAGCCTACAGTCATTGGGGTGGACCCCAATGACTGTAGGCTGGGGAATGGTCTGGCTAGCGAGACTAGTTTTCTGTAGTGTAAAAGTTACTATAAAATCTTTAGCGAAATACCATGTGGAAGCACGTGGTTCCCGTATACGGAAGAAGTACGGGTCGGGGTACGGATATAAGGTCATAGGCGTGGCAAGTGTGGGTGTAGCTTGCTGTTTTGAAGTTTATTGCTTAGCGAGAGTTGTTTCTTTATTTTAGAGCACAATGGCTTGGCAGCAGCCACCAGGCTACGTGAGTGTTTTCTTTACTCCTCAAACCCATTATCCAATCCTTGTTCTATAGGGAGGCACTCCACCAAGAGGCTATGGTCCTCCTCCTACTAGTGGATATGGTGCTCCAGGAGGAGGTTATGGTGCTCCACCAGGAGGATACCGTCCCCCTCAAGGATCCGGAGGTTATGGTCCTCCTCCCGGGGGCTATCGGCCCAGTTACCAGCACCCTCCCCCTGGTAGCTATGGAAACCCACCTCCTGGTGGCTATGGCAACCCCCAAGGTAGTTTCGGAGGTGGTAGTGGATATGGTCCATCAGGGCCTTACCAGTCGGGGCCTGCCGTATGTACAACAATAATAATTATCCTAATTAGTTTTAATTAATAGGGATATCCTCCACAAGGAGCCCCTCCTGGGTATCGCCCTCCACCTGGCCCCCCTCCTGGTATTGATCCAACTGTCTATGAATGGTTCAGGGTACATAATAGATTCCTCTCTCTCTCTCTCTCTTCATTCTGTTTATTCTTTTAGACGGTTGATGCTGATGGTTCAGGACAAATATCAGCTGTTGAGTTACGACAGGCGCTAGTCAATTCAAACTGGTCTCATTTCAATGACGAGACGTGTAGACTCCTCATAGGAATGTTTGACAAAGACAAGTAAGTGATCGATTGTGTGAGAATTTGAATGTCAATTTTTTAAAAATGTACTGCATGTACAGTACTGTAATAGTATGCAGTCTGCATCATTTTTTTGAATGCATGGGTATCAATTTGAGTATAGATGAGCTCTTTGTTGGTTTTGAGTTTTGTTTTGTTAGAGAGTTTCTAAGTTTGTTGATTTGGGGTTACTCTATAGTCAGTTGTGTCACTGATTTCTCTTGTGTGTGAGTAGAAATGGAACTATTGATGTGCACGAGTTTGGTTCACTCTGGAAGTATGTGCAGGAATGGAAGGGCTGCTTTGATAGGTTGGTATTACACAACTCTTGCTGTGTCTTTAATTTTTTTCTCTTCCCACTCCACCCTCTCCTTACTCTAAATTAAACAAATTCATCCCTGCTGTTTATCCTTAAAAAAATGTTTGTCCTTACTCTAATGGACAAATTTCCTGTCTCCTAGATTTGACAAGGACAGGTCTGGTAACATTGACTCTGGTGAGCTACAAGAAGCACTGGGAGCCTTTGGCTATAGATTGTAAGGAAATACAAAACAATTTGCAACACCTTCCTCTCTCACTCTCAGGAGTAGGGATTTCTGTCAATTGTGTACAAGGGTTTTTGATCGCAAAGATGTCAATTCAATGAAGTTTGACGACTTCATTCAGTGTTGTGTTATGCTCCGCTCGTTGACGGAAACTTTCCAAAGGGTAGACACTGACAGAGATGGAGTTATAGATATATCCTATGAGCAAGTAAGGAACCATGAGCAATTAATTGTGTGTGTGTAAGCAGCTAAGCATACATTATGGCACATGACCATGACAGGAAGGTTTGGTATACATGTGCACACATAAAAGAATTGATAGATGACTCAACAGTTCAGGTCATAGGCTAATGTTGCTATTACACTTCCTATTATGACTGGCACATTTTTGGCTAAGGAATGTGCATATTTAGTAGCAGAATGAACACATTGGTTTGTATACATAACTACCAGCATGATGATAATCATACTACCTGCTATTATTATGTTTTATTTTTCTGTACAGTTTTTAGAAATGGCAATTGATAATACACTATCTTGATTTCTGCTTCTTCATTCTTTCCCTCTTCTCCTCTTAACCCAACCAGAAGAAAATAATTATTAATTATAATAGTAACTATTGTTATTGTTATTATTCTTATTGCCATTATTATTGTTGTTATTTCTATTGGTTACAATGTAACTATAAAGTTATGTATTCGTTATTATATTCTTTCACATTTTACACATTCACAGTTAATTTGTATAAAGGGTATTGGTTGTCAGATTATTGCTCATGAAGATGCCGAAATTGCTTCCAATTTCAGCATAATTTCTTAATGCTGTTATGCTATTATAGAAAGCTTGACTGCTGATTTCTGAACCTAGATCTAATGAAAAATTAATAATTATTTCATGTTTTTATTAATAATAATAGTTATGAAGCATGAACTCTGGTTTGTTCATAACGGTGTGCATAGTAGTGACAGTATGCATTATGAATGAAGTTTCTTTTTAAGAATTGGCGAGACATTTCTCATTGCGTTATCAGCCATTAAAATGGGGCAGTGAAACTCTGGAATGTAATCATAGTATAATTGATAGCGGTTAGGCTCATACTCAAAATTGCTTCCTTCTAAGCCACAATCAGATAGTGTCCATGATGGATTGAGATATGATTCTTTGGAGCACGAGTGCTTACTAAATATGGCTATCATTGTGACAGACTTATGAAGGTGACTGCTGATAGTGTCAATTAGACCATGTATTGTTGTGCCTGTCGTGACAGTTACAGCAAAGTGAGCAGGGTGGCGACTAAAGTCTCTAAATGTTGCAAGAGTTAGCTGCACTTGTACAAACCTACAGTAAGTACATTATTATTATGGAATAATTGAATACTCTTTTACTTTGGTTCATATTCCAGTGGAGGCTCCATTAATGCTATACCACATCTTAGACAAGGGTCTCCTTTCTTACTCTTTTTTGAAGGCTCTTTCTCTCCATCATCTTTCTTTTTGCCTTTCTTATCTGTTTGAGTCACCTCAGCTACTGGAGGATCAATGAGAGTTGTGGTGTATGCAATGTTAAGGAGTTCTTGGTCTGTCTTCTTCATGATGTTTGTTAGTAGTTTGATGTGTAATGAGCCAGTTCTCAATGGATCCAAATACTTTATGAGCAACTGAAACTGCTGGCTTGAAACTGGTATCTGCAACAACCAGAATATGATAGACTTGATATTGCAGTTTATACTGTTACCTGCAGGTATCTCATGGCAACTTGAAAGTCTTCAGTGCTCATGCTTTCTTGCCCCCATTTAGTGAGGTAAGACTTAATGCTTGCTTCCTCCTCTTCAAGCCACCATCTTGTCCTTCTCAAACACTCGTGGAGCGACTCTTCTGGTGTCAATGGAGGAGGTCGATACTGTAGATGAAAAGTACACAGTTGAGATCATTATTGGCGGATCAAATGGCCTTACCGCATCAGCTGGCAAAGAGTATTTCTTGCCTTTCTTACTGTAATGATAAATAAATAATTCAATGCCTGCTTCTGTAGTTTCTTACCCTCCTTTAGACTTCTTTCCTCCAGATTTCTTCTTTTTGGGCATGACTCCTTTCACGTCTAAGGTGAGAGATTGTTTACTTTTGGGCGTGGCTGGCGTTTGTACACCCACGCATGTAGATTAATAATAGTATTATAATGTAGTATCCTTTCTGAAGAATCACCTTTGTTTACTGAAGGAAAAATCATGTCTTTAACAAGAAGTTGCTCTCTGCTCATTTTTTTGTTGGTGATTGTTTGGAGTTGCTGTGGCTATGATGGCAAACTTTCAAAAGGTTTTGTTATAATAATATTTATCATAATTAGAAATTACTTCTTCACAATAATAGATCAAAGTTATGGCAAAGTTTATTCAAACTTCACTTGCTGTGAGTAATATTGATATACTTTCCATAATCTTTATTGCATTATAACTTTAGGTAGCACATTTCTGTCAAGTGGCAACAATAGTTGTGGAATACTAGCTATGAACTATGTAATCATAAGTTCAAAAGTGGTTTCAGAACAACTTCAATTTAATGCTACAATTGACTTCACTCTAAGTAAAAATAAATGCCATGCATCACACATAATGCTTTTCCATACACTGCAGGTGAAACAGTTAATTTTGGAAGTGTCATCGAGTTGTCAATTTCAAAAATGGTTCACAACATGAACATAGTGTATCTAGATTTTACATTGAACTTATGTGATCTCTTTTTAGACCTTCAAAAACTACAGTGTCCTATAAAACCAGGACACTACAAAATCTTTTATGAAACGCCTACGCTTCCACCCCTAATTGAAAAAGTACTTACAGTTCACATCTCAACAATAATGCTAAACAGCAGTTGCCATTGTTAGTGTTAGTACTATTCTTTCATTTCTCTAGGGAGTGTTCATTGTTAAACTAAAGGCGAAAAATGAATTTGGAAAAGAAACAACCTGCAGCACATTTGACATGACATTAATGTAAAAAAAACAATCCTGACTTTTAAAAGATTGTAGTTCTGTCATTTGGTTGTTTAACTTTTTGTGTCACAAAAGCTTTAGACAATAGAGCCATCCTATATGGTTACATCGTTTGTTTATAGTGATTAAAATTTTTCAAATCAGTTCAAAAATATAAACAAATTACACGCATTAATATCCTTTGTGAAAATGTACTAATCATTCAAGCCTAAACGATCTAATTATACAGACTATTACCATAATTATGATATTAAATATGTAGGGAAGTAAATTAAACATAATAGGATAACAAAATATATTATTTATATACACTAGAAGTAACACTGAAATAGAGTGATGAAAAAGATGACAGATTATATCAAAGTTAGTTACCAAATATTGTTAAGGTCTTTGTAGTGATGGTGTTCTTTCTGATAAGGCATTGGGCCCAAAAGCTTCACAAGGTCTTTATAGTTCAGAACTTCTTTCTCTAGTAAGGCTTTAGCAAGCTGCAAAATATAATATAAAGATAGAGGAAAAGAATCATAACTGACTTTATAATATCAAACCCAATTATACTGATGCATACCTTTCTTAGAGACTCTTGGTTTTCTTTCAGTAATGTTTCAGCTCTTGAGTATGCTAAATTAACCAAACTTCTTGCTTCCTATATACAACAGGAAACTTTTTATGAGGAGTACAAAATTAAAATTTTGGCATATCTGGTATTTACTTAGTCCAAAAGAGATACAAATTTATAAAAAGTCAAACTTTCTATGCAGCATAAGTACATGTATTTGTATTAGAAAAAAAGTATAAAAATGGAGAAATCTTTCCTGGTCATTTTTGGTGAAATTTGGCCCAATTCTTGAGCAACTTTAAAAATTCGTAAAAAAATCCAAATTTGATCGGAATTTGCTCAAACTTGCTATGCAACATAAGTACATGTAAATGTATCAGAAAAAATTATAAAAATGAAGAATTCTCTTCTAGACAATTTTGGCAAAAATTTGACCAAAGTCCCTGTACTATAGTACAGGGACATTGGCCCGATTTTTGAGCGACTTTAAAAATTCATAAAAAATTCAAACTTGATCAGAATCCGCTCAAACTTGCCACACAATATAAGGACATGTATATAAATCAGGAAAAATTATAAAAACGCAAAATTCTCTCCTTGTCATTTTTGGTGAAATTTGGCCGAAATCCCTGTACTATAGTACAGGGACTTTGGCCCAATTTTTGAGCAACTTTAAAAATTTGTAAAAAATCCAAACTTGATTGGAATCTGCTCAAACTTGCTACACAATATAAGGACATGTATATGCATCAGAAAAAATTATAAAAACACAAAATGTTCTCCTTGTCATTTTTGGCGAAATTTGGCCAAAATCCCTGTACTATAGTACACGAACTTTGGCCCAATTTTTGAGCAACTTTAAAAATTTGTAAAAAATCCAAACTTGATCAGAATTTGCTCAAACTTGCTATGCAACATAAAAGCATCTATATGTATTTTTAAAAATATTAAAATGTAGAATTCTCTCCTAGTCATTTTCGACAAAGTACACTGTACTGTATAGGGACTTTGATCCCATCCCTAATATACTAACATCATCAATCTCTTTTGCTAGTTTGTTGCTATAGAATCTTTTTGATGGCTCCAAAGGGCGAATCACTGGCAGAGAAATGTTTCCAATCTTTGTACTCATTCCATATTCACTAATCTGTAACATTTATGAGAGTAAATATAAACACAAAACTGTTGATAACATTGACCTGTTTATATGCCATATCAGTAACCTTCAATAAATCATCTTGAGCGCCTACAAGACATACATAACAATGGCAATGCTGGAGTACATACAATACCAGTTGTTATTCGACGGAAAGTAATAGCCTCAGCTGCCCTCCCACCAAGAGCGAGTGTCATTCGATCAAAAAGCTAACAAAAATGAACAAGAGATAAAGGTAAAAAATATTACACTCGTTCTTACTTGTTCTTTGGTGTGGAGTCGCTGTTCCATTGGAAGGTACTGGGCAAACCCAAGGATTCCTTTGGTACGTGGAACAATAGAAACCTGATATATATAAAAGAATAGTCTTAGCTCTATATTAATAATTGACTCAATGATACCTTCAATACAGGATCAGTGTGTTCTAATAACCAACCAACAATAGTGTGGCCAGCCTCGTGATAGGCAATCACTTCCCTTTCCTCTGAGCTAAGAGCGGAGTTCTTCTTCTGCATTCCAGCTATAACTCTCTCTATAGCATACTCAAAATCATCCTCGGTGACCTTTGAACCCTGTTCTCTCGCTGCATGGAGGGCAGCCTCATTCACAACATTAGCTATATCGGCACCTTCATGAGAATATTTAAAATCACGACACAAAGGAGAATGAATCTTATATACCACTATGCCCTGGAGTAAGAGCAGCCAGCCTTCCTGAGTATTCCTCAAAAGATTTCTCGAGTAAAATCTTTTTCAAGTAAACTTCAAAGATTGCCTTCCTCTCGGGAAGCGTCGGCAAATCAATAGAAATCTGACGATCGAACCTACCAGGCCTCAATAACGCTTGATCTAATATATCAACACGATTTGTGGATGCCAGTACAACCACACCCTCCAAAGGATTGATACCTGTAGATATCAAAGGCTAGAGAGGTTAAGCCAAGACATTAGTTCAATTTACCATCCATTTCAACAAGGAGCTGGTTAAGAGTGTTCTCCTGCTCGCTCGTCCCCTCAACAGAAGCTCTGAGGAGAGAGAGAGAGAATGTGTGTAAGAAATGTACACATGGTATATAAGTTAAAGTAGTGTCTCTTGTCATTAATGATGTACCCAGATTGTCTTGATCTTCCTACAGCGTCAATCTCATCGACATACAATATACATGGAGCACTTTTTCTAGCTTGATCAAACAGATCCCTCACACGAGCTGATCCAACACCTTCATAAAATAATAATTAATGAATGAGTACATTTTAGGTAGAACAATTACAACTATATAAAGACCCATAAAAGTGATAAAGGATCATTCTATGAGTGAGCAATAGCAATGAGAAGGAATGCTATTATTGATCGTGTTGCACATGTTAACCTACCAGCGAACATTTCTACAAAATCAGGTCCTGCTATTGAAATGAATGGAACACTGGCTTCCCCTGCAATAGCACGAGCTAGTAGGGTCTTTCCTGTCCCTGGGGGCCCGTGAAGGAGAGCCCCTTTTGGTATCCTGGCACCAAGCTCTGAGAACTTTTTTGGAAACTTGAGATAATCGACAAATTCCATGACTTCAGTTTTTGCCTCTTCCATACCAGCCACATCTTTAAAACTAGATCAGAAATGACAATGAGAACTTAGGAAAACTGATTTAATATAAAATATAAACAGAGTTTTTTTTATAAAAATGAAATGTACTTTGTTCCAATTTGCGCCGGGTCAGTTACAACTGTTGTCTTTGCTCGCGTCATGTAAGACTAAAAAGGATTAATTAAAATATACATACACACAGAGCATCAACACAAGGAGACTAACAAAAGGATTGAAAGGAGATCCATCTTTGCCAGAAGCACCACCCATACCGCCAGTGTTCCGAAACATGAAGTACCAAACCAATCCAATTATACCAATGGTAGTAAGACTACTGACAAAGATAGGCCTGTAGGTAGAAAGAGATGGATTGTCATTATTTGATGGTGAAGGAATTGAGAAGGAAAGGGGAAGAGAGTGATAATATCTTACAAAATCTCCATCCGTGCCTTATAGTGAATGCTTATTCTATCATCGGGTGGTATGCCCAACTCGTCTTGCGCCATCTTTATTCTATTTTCAAAGCTCTCAACTCCAGCAATACTCATCATAAACTGTGGACTAGCTGGACTCACCTATATACAACCAACCCATCCTAATCCACAGATATTGGCCACACTAACCATTCTACCATTGATAACTGCTCCGGGGTACAAAAATATAAAAACATTCTCGCGAGATGCAGTCACCACCAACTTCTGTACCTGCGATACATAATGAGATTCTATAATGCATTTAAATAATAATTGTTCTAATTGTGCAAAAAAGCAGTCTTGCTATATGGTAATACAGAAAGCTCAATACCGAACTGAATCTTCAAAATTTTAAATTTAAGTCCCAAAATGTTAGACACAAAGCAAAAAAAATTATCAGTGAGTCCCAATGATGAACTATACAGCTACTGAGCACAATCATCATACATGAATAGTTGAAATGATAAACTGAAACTAATCAAAAATGTCCCAACAGAAAACACAGGTTCACAGCTTTCATGCACTGGAAATATTATCATAATAAAAGGCAGTTGGGATTGATAAACACAGCTACTACAGAAAACAAGTAGACGGATATTAGGCCATTCATTCGTACGTATGTGTATATACAAGTCTTGGAGTGGGTTGGTGTTTCCCTTGTAAGGAAAGGGGGCAAGGCAAGGGGTAAAGATCATTGAAGGGAGACTGTCAGTGATGTAATGAAGGAATATCCAAAAAGAATAGAACCTGTTTTCTCCCTCTCTTGGCTGCCTCTGTTATAAGAGGAGGGAAAGTGGAGCATCTGAAATCAACTCTCATTCAGGTAAAGGCATTATTCTTCGTAAGTGATAATATAACTTCTGATTCTCAAAGAGCCATGGCCTACAATAGATGGCAAAGTCTAGTTCTAGTCATCGTTACAAATATTCTCATGAATACTTTCATTCTGTACAGCAGCACACAGTTTGCTTTTACGCTCGAATTCACAAAAACTTTCTTCGTCGTTGTCTACATCACAATGCTGATCGCATACCTCTTCTACCCACTGCTTGGCTGGATAGGGGACCAATGTGGGACACGCTATAGGGTAACACTTATCGGTTTACTCTGCATCATAATAGCAACAATAGCTGGCATCAGCATAAGCATCGCTAATTACTACTACATGGATAAAATTCAAAATAAAAGCTCTTTCTGGACGTATCTTTCCATCGTGACGTTAATCCTAATGACAGGAATGGGACTAGTGAACACTAACGTATTGAAACTAGGACTCGATCAGTTGCTTAATAATTCAATCACTTTAGTACTGAGTCTAGTGAGAGGCTATTACTGGAGCCTCCACGTTGGACCACTAGTGATGTACTATATACTAGCAACCCTTTTTGCACTTCGTTGTTTTCAACACCGGCCGTACAAAGGCAAGTATTACCATCAGACAGGTGGCTGGGCAGTGTTCTTAAACCTCTGCACTCAACTTGTCTTCATAACAATCACTTTTTGTCGGGTTTTGTCTCGTTC